TTAGAACGAATTTACTGACATGCACAGCTCGTGATGTCCTTTAGAAATCCACCAGGAGAATATATGGAATTACATTACAGAGCACGTTATTGTTTGGTGATCTGGTTCATCTGCAGTGCCGAAAATGAAACCTGCACGACACGTGACCGAAACCACAACAGGTGAGGAGAATTATTTGCTTATGTTTACTGCTTCGAGCCAGGCGGAAGTCAGCTTGAATGTCACACGGTTTGTGCCGTTCCGTCGGGCACATCATTTAACTCTGAAAGTGAATGACATTTCCTATAAACGGCAGCGACATATTGTAAAGACAACATGCAGTGTAGCCCCCGTTTGGGTTAATTTCAATTAGAGACTGCACGCGGGCTATTTTTTATCTTATAAAAGCAATGCATGTTAATCTATCGTGAGGATGTGTGAGCTACTCAAACCCACGTGATTATATATTGCTTAATTAAAAACATGGTTTAAAGGGAAAGTTCACTCAAAAATAAATGGAATACTCACTATTTTACTCCCCCTAAGTCAGGGTCACCAACCTTGTTCCTGGAAAGCTATTCCTGCAGATTTCAGTAGCAACCCTGACCAAACACACCTGTCTGTAATGGGGTACATGCACAGACTTTTAATTTCTGTCAGCCAGCCCCAGGGCTACCTGTTAATTGTCAACCTATACAAGGTTGCTGTGTTTAAGATTTAAGCACTGCAATAAATTATGTTTTTCGCGCCATGTCTGTAACATGTAAATTTTACTTTAGTATTTTCAATGGAGTTTCTGTGCTAGCTTGCTGCTAACAACAGCGCCTGCATCCGTTTACAGTCTTCCATATCTTTTTACAATTTACAACCAAATGGATGCTTAAGAGTGTGGTGCCGTGTAGGATTTAAATCAAACTTCACTTATCCACACATACATAAAACACATCCATATACACCTATAAATTACTTGCATGTACACCTATACTTCTGGATATTCAAAACAACACAGGTGAGACTTGTGTATATACATATAAACTTGACGCATGCATACACCCTCATATACATGCGCATACATACAGTATAAACTCGATCCTCACATAAACACCCACATTAACACATGCACATACATATAAACTCGCAGCACGCAAACACACCTATACACACTCGCATATACATATAAACTCGATCCATGCATATGCACCCATACTCTTACATATGTAAACTGGATGTCTGCATAAACACCCATAACAGTCTTGAAAACATACAAACATACAAAATAAAATTCACAAACATATATACAGTTAGTTGTATGTATATATATATTTACAAGTGACATCAAATTACTTTTCTCAGGCTTTTTAATTAATTTAAAGACAACATATTCTGTATATTTTTTCTGTAGATTTCACTTCCATCCTTTTAGAGAAATTTTCGAAAATGTATGCACTGTTATATGAAGCAAAGCCAAATTTAGACAAGTGTGAAATTCATTTGCAAAAAGTGTAACACTGAACCTCATACAAACTAATTCACACAACTGAAGTCCAAAATTGTTAGAGTGTGTCCTGGTCTTCTACTTCTCCAGTGTTATATTTTTGCTGTTTCTTTGAAACTAGAAAGAAACTAATCAGGTTTTAGACAAGTAGTTTTCAAATGCATTTACTTACAAACTTATAGCCTGGGATAGGATTTATACCTCTTTCACAACAGAACACCTCCCAAGATTCCTTTTAACACCATAAATTACCTAAAACTGCAGTTTTAATTATATGATTGCAGTCATTCATCTATCTTACACTATCAAGCATTATTCAACAAGGAAATACATTTAAATAAAATAAGTTTATTGTAATAAATAAATAAAATATTTAAATAAAATAATTGAATGGGTCGAAATGATAAATATTTTTATGCCAAAAATAATTAGAATATTAAGATCATGTTCCATTAATATATTTTGTAAATTTCCTTCTGTAAATAAAATACATCAAAAATCCATTTATAATCGACATTTTCCATTTCTAGTAATTAATTTAATCAGCTTTAATGAGGATTTTTTTCAGTGTTTTGAGTTAGATTTTTTTAAACGTCAGATTACTTTCCAAATAGTTTTAACTTCAAACACACTAAAACATTTCCATTGATTAATAGTTTCCATATTTTGTGATTCACAGGTGTTTTCTGTTTATTTACAGTCACGACTAGAGTTTTATCATGTGACCTTGAGCTTCTCTGTCAACATTTGATGTTGAAAATTCAACTCTGCATTTTAATAAATTGATTGTCCTTGGCATTTTAGTAATTTAAACAATACTTTATAAAAATTAATGTAAATAAAAATAAGTCAAGGTGGCTCAGTGATTAGCACTGTTGCCTCACAGCAAGAAGGTCGCTGGTTTGAGTGCTTCCTGGGTCAGTTGGCTTTCTGTGTGGAGTTTGCATGTTCTCCCCGTGGCGTGAGTTTCCTCCAGGTGCTTCAGTTTCCCCACAGTTCAAACACATGCGATATAGGTGAATTGAATAAACTAAATTGTAGTGTATGAGTTTGAATGAGTGTGTGTGCTGGATAAGTTGGCGGTTCATTTCACTGTGGCATTCTGATGAATGAAGGGACTAAGCTGAAGAAAAATGAATGAATAAATGAATGAATGAATGAATTAAAATAAGTCAATAAAAAACAGAAAAGGCAAGCCTATTAATTAACATGTTGTTTGTTCTGTAATTTAAAATATCAACACAGACAATAGATCGCTTCAAACTAGAAAAACTAGTAAATATGTGAACAATGTAACCTGTCAAACTTTTTAACATGTTGTTGGAGGAAAGATCAAAGTCCAATAATGCAATTCAAAATCATAAAAAATAAATTTACATTTCAAAAGATGTACAGTTATGGCAGGTTTGTGGTCATAGCCTACATATTGAGTCAAATTTTGGGCCAATAAGATTTTATTACATTGCTCTATTTACATTAGTTAAAAAAGTAAATTGCATAAATTTCCAAGGGCTTGTCACTTGAAGACAATGCACATTTATCAGCAGTTGATGACACTGGAACCACATATATTGTGAAATATGTGCTGCAGTGCTATGAATATTTTCTTTTGATATTTCTATTGGGAGTTTTCCTGCATGTCTCCTCTCCATGGTGTTTGTTGGCTGCTTTATCCCTGCTGCTGTGTTGCCTATGGCAGCAGACATGGAGGAGGATAAAGCTTTGACTTTCTCTTTGGATGCACATAAACAGTTGAAACACTTGAAATTAGAGGGGAAAAAAACTCCTTTTACACTTAATTACAGTGCATGTCTATGGAATGTGGACAAACATGTTTCTTTATTGGATTAAGCTGCATGGAACTACAGGTGCCACTCAAAGTACAGTTGTGTAGTTCTTTATTAAATCACTTCAATAATTTAACTTCCCATTTTATTAATTTGAGGATCCTATTGATGGCATTGTGCTTCCTTATTTTTATTTTCTACTGCCTACTACCTGTATGTTTTTTTTTTTTTTGTTTTTTTTTTTGCTGTGGAAGATTCTGTCTTGTTTTCAGTTAGTTGTCCTATTGTGTGAACTAGACTTCCCCTTAACAGGCCTTTCCGCATAGCAAAATGTCCTCTTTCTTTGCAGGCAATTAAGTGGTTTAAAACATTTATGAATTTTGTTATTCTGTTGAACTCAATAAAAGTTATTTTGAAGAATGTTTGGGGGGAAAGAAGTCATTGGCCTTACAAGTGGCCTTTGCAACATAACGTTATCATTAGGATTTGTGCCAGATTGGATTTATCATCATCTTCTTTTCACATTTGCTCAGAAGTGTTTAAACGCTATTAAATATGCCACATATCAGTGAATATATGCAAGTGATAAACCTTGATTTTAAGCACTCCTGCTTAATGATTACATCTAAACATAACATTGATAACAGCATATATGTCAAAAGATATTAAGAAACTGTATGACTAAAGTCTTAACGTTTTATTAAATTAATTAAACGATTAAAGATCATTTTCTGTGTAGTGCATGAAAGCTGTGTTGTTGCCCACACAATCTGAATTAAGTCTGTTTTTGTGGTCTGTGGCGCCATCCTCTGGTAAAACTGCTCCATAGGCTAAACAATGCTGATTGATTTGTCATAACATATTTTCGTCTTCTCTCATATTTTTTTCTTTCACTGTAACTCCTCTGCATCTCCTGCATGTGCATATCTTTTATTGTAAATATTATTTTTCAAATATATGTGTTGTCTGAAATGTGCTTAGCTTTGCAGGCTTTAAATGCGCACGACGTGATGACATCACTGACACTCTGAGGTGTCGAAATGTTGCCATGTCCACTTGCTTTACGCAATATTTTTTTCCCATGAGGTTGTCTAAATATAAAATTATAGTATAATGAAATACAGGTGAGTTTTTGATTGCTAGTGCTATACTATTATTAAAACAATATCGGGAGGATAAATATATATATTATAAATATTGATAAATAAATAAAAATCTATGGAAAAAATATGACAACAAATAAACACATATTAGTATAAAACCTAAATAAAAGTCAATTTAATTTTTTTTAAATAAATAAAACTTGGAAAAAGTAACGGAATAATAAAATATAACAAAAGAAGCTTTAATTTATCCAAAAGTGTTTTTAAACAAATAATGATTAAATAAAATTACTGTAGAAAAACTAAAAAATAAAACTGTTATTAAAGTAATCTTAATATAATCTCAATACAATATTTTTTAGATAAAAAGAGATTTAAATACTTTATGCAAATTTAATAAGTAGAAAGTTTAGTTAAATGAATAAATATTAACTAGATTTAAAAATAAGTATAATAATGTCAATGTGATGTCCACAATTTTGAAAATCCCAGATTTAGACAGTCAGTCGTAAATGTGAAACATTTATATTTTTTAAAAAACTAAAAAATGGAAGTGTTTAGTTGTATCTGCTTTCATTTGCATTTAAACAGTTCTACATTTGTTGCGGTTTTATTTTGTTTTTCTAGCGAGATCTGGCAACCCTGTCGTGCGGGAAGGGTTTCCCTAGTGTTAGCTAAACAACATCACGACGACCTTTGAAGTCGCCAACCCCGGTCGAATGAATGAAGTCCGGACGCACGTTTTAGCATGTCAAATTTTGCCATGAGTGCCCTGTGCCGTGTTTTCACAAGAGGAGCGCCTTGCGGCCTGTCGTCATGTTCATCTGTAACGGGACTTCGGGATTTTTGCAGCGGAGTCTCGCGGCTGGACCGCGCTGGCAGTGACAGCATGAGAACCGCCAGGTGTTGCATCTTTAATCTTCCGGATGAAATATTGTTAATTGCACAGAACTTCATGTGTGAGAGATTATTGTTACTTTAAAAAGTTATTTGTAGTTTATTTTAACGTTATTATTCGTGCATTTACTGTCACCTTAGAAAATTAGCCAGTAGTAGATGGGTTTTAATCAGAAATAGAGTAAAAAGAGTAAAACCAGTCAAAATTACCTACACGTTATCTTTTGTTGTGGCTAATAACGGGTAATGGTTACATTAATTAAGTTATAAATTAGATATTACTATATTGGTATGATTTTGTAAACAAGGCCATGTTTCCACTTTCCAGTCATCACCATATCTTATCTTTAAGTAAAACATCAATAAAAACTCATACTTATGAGTCTTGTGAAAGGCAATATACTGAAATGCTATTCAGATTTAAAGTTAATATTCTCCTGAGACTAAAATTCATAGAGCTTTAAAGCTACAACTTAAACCAAGGTCATATTCAGATTTGATTTGTGGTTATTGTAAAATAAGTATCTAAATCTATCTTCCTGTCCTTTTAGCATTTTAGCTTTGTAATATTTCTACTGTAACATGCTTATGTTTGCTATCCTTGTACTAAACATAATACAAACGTTAGCAACCCTACACAACCCAGAACGTGTTAGCAAAATGATGAGTAATGCTAATATGGTGTTAAAACATGTTAGCAACAAGCTATTTCATGCTTGCAGTGTGGTAAGACGAGTAGCACGTTAATGCATGCTAGTCATTAATGATATAAATTATATGACAAACATGTTTGAGCATGCTAACTCATGCTAGTATGAATTAAAAAAAAAGACATATCAATAAAACTTGATTGTAATTTGCTAAAATACCCTAACAACCTTTTGAAATGTCTTAGACACGTCTTAGTGGTATGTTTATTCATGCTAGGCAGGTGTTAAACATGTTGTAAATTTTTTTAAAATATTTGTTAGCAACTCTAACCTGCCTAATGAGTTACCCTCAAATGATTTTAGGGTGCTTTCACACCTGTGTATCGATTCAGTTGTTCCGAAACAGAGATTACAAATGTTACATTGTTGCTCTTTGCTCTTGGAGCGGTTCACTTTCACACTGCAAAGTTTATAATCGGACCAAAAGAGCTAAAACAAGTCACGTGCGAGTAAACTCTCCTTACATTAGTCAGAGTGTCAGGGTTTATTTTGCAGCGTCCCGCTCAGCTGTCAGGAGAGGTGGTGGTTTGGTGGTGATTGACAGGGTGCGCGCGTGACGCGTCTGAGCGAGACGCGGTGGGGAGGGGTGAGAAGGGTGCGCGACGATGCCTATTTGAGGACCGGGAGGGAGACGCGAGATTACCGGGAGATCATCACTCGTTTGCGGGCATCCGAAGACTCGCGAAACTTCCCGACACACTCATAATTCTCTCTTCATATAGCCGTAAGCCTATTACATATCCATAAAACACTGTGATATAACCGCGCTCGGATCGGATCGCTTTCTCACTGCAATCGATCCGCTCCAGGGTTCGTTTCAATCGAGCCGAGACCACCTAATTCAAGCGATCTCGGAGCGATTACTTTGGCGCGGAACAGAGCGCGATTGCCCTGTTCACATATGCCAATCGAACCGCGCTAACTGGGCAAACGAGATGCGTTCCGAAACAAAAGTGTAGGTGTGAAAGCACTTTTAGTGTTTCCCCTTATTTTAGCTGTGTAATTAAACATTTGGGAGTGAATTTGTGCAGTAGTTTAAAATTTGATAAACTGGTTAATTCAGTGATTAGGGCAAGCTTTTTCCAGCTTCGCCTTCTTGCCAAAGTCAAGCCATTTCTGAGCCAGCGTGGGTAAGTCTCAAACGTATGCACATCACACCTGTCCTTTACTCTATTCACTGGCTCCCTGTTAATTCAGGATTAATTATGTTGGCTTGAGAAAGCCAACATACTGTTATACTACTCTGTCCTTGAAAACAAACGTATCTCCTCCTAGGCCGTTCATGCCACAAGGCCCAAATGTGGTCAAAATGTGCCTTCTACATTCAAGATTGTTGCTATATCTCCTCATGCCTATAAGACTTATTGTTTTTTTAATAAAAAAATTTAAATATTAAATTTTTATAATCCGGGCATATTAAAAAATTATACAAGCCCCAAATTTGGCCAAAAGCTGTATTTAGATGAGTTAGATTTTGTTGCTATGTCTTTAAGGTTTATCAGACTTATAGTTTTCCAATAAATAATTTGTAAGCATTATTTTTCTCAAAATATGGCAAGCCATTTTTGACTTAAACTCCATATTTTTTTACTGATATGGCAAGCCATTTTTGCATGTATCACTTTTTAACACTTATTAAGCATTGTATTTTCAAAAAAATACGGCAAGCCATTTTTACATAATGTTCATTCCCTTAGTCCCTTTATTAATCAGGGGTCGACACAACGGAATGAACCGCCAACTTATCCAGCATTTGTTTTACACAGTGAATGCCCTTCCAGCCGCAACCCAACACCAGGAATACATAATGTTCAAGTCCAGTTTTTGACACTCATAAAGACTGTCCTAGAAACATCGGGGTCGATTAAGATCACTCATATTGCCAAGAAGCTTTGATGTATCATCACTAACCTGTCAAATGTCCCCACAGTAATAAAACAGTATAACCTAGCAACCATTTAAAAATATCAATATCTCTACATCAGAACATCGTAGGGACCTGGGCATTGGCTTGTTTGACTCTTGCTAGCAAATGGGACTTCCTGTGTACTATGCATGGTAACAATGATAATGGAAGCCAAGTGCTAATAACGATTAGCTACATGCTATGAATGATTATCTAAATGCAATAACATATGCTAGAAATGCCTACTAAGTATTAGCATTTGATCAAACATGTACACGAGCATTGCCATTTAGCACAGGGTTCTCGCGGGTCGTTAAAAAGTCTTAAAATGTTTTAAATTAAAATCCAGGAAATTAAGGTCTTAAATTGTCTTAAATTTTACCGTAAAGTGGCTGTAGGTATTACATTTTCAGCCGGTGTGCTTAATGACGATAGGGAAGCACAGTGGTCCACAGTAAAACATCTAACAGTTGATTAATTTAGTATGTGGGAAACAGGAGAGAAATAACAGTCTGCGTCATTTATTAGCTTATTATGGTAGGTCGGCTAGTACAGACGCTTACGTTGGTCAGCACCTCCGTGCTGTCATTACGCGGTTGTTGATGTGAGGTTCAAAATGCAAAGATGGGAAAGTGTAAATTTAACGACGTGGCAATGAAGCAATGTGTAAATTCAACAAAAAGAACTTTTCGTTAGGGACCATGGAGCTCAAAGCCGTCGAGTCGCACATGAAAGGAGGAAAGCAGCCGCGGGACATTGCAGCAGCTAGTCATAGCGGGTGCAGGGTAATCCTTGCATTGTTTGCAGCTCAACCTATCAGTGTTACTAGTTCAGACTAGAGCTGAAGATCTTTGCTGGGTTCGGACTTTATTTCTATCTTTTTAGACGGGGTCATGCCTGGCTTGGGCAGTAAATGAACAGTCATGTGATGCATTTCGATTAGCGCGAGGAAGTAATCAAATTGTTTGTTACAACATTGAAATCCATCCCTGCAAAGGCATAACAAATGATGACAGAGATGTCAAAAAGAGTGAATTTTGTCAGCGGTCAGGCCAGCCAACAGGTTAATTTGAACAGTCATTCTAATTGTTTCGGCGGTCGCTTATATACTGCGTTTTACGGCAGTTCACTAAGGAGCAGTGTTCAGCGAGCTGACAGGGAAGATGACGAGGTCACTTGCTGCATTGAAACCTCTGTCATGGAAAATTAAATGAATGTTCCTGACTGGTGGAAGATGAACAAAAAATCCTACCCAAAACATGCTAAATTAGCCAGATCAGTAGTGCATCTTGGCCAGTAGCAGCAGCAGAGAAAGGGTGTTCAGTGCTGCTCAGTGAGCGAAGGACTGCACTAAAGCCATTAACAGTGGATTAAATAATGTTCCCCACAAAAACACACAGCCTAATCTTGATAAGTAAAGAATTTCAAATTATAACTAAATATTAATAAAACCATAAAATCACAATGTATTCAGAGTATACAGGCTAATGCTGGCATTATTCTTTTATTATTTAGCTTCACCATGGCCTTATTATCAGGAGAAGTGGCAAAACAAATCCCACAGAGCCTTTATCTTAAATTCGTTATTGCCAAATACCCGTCATCATTTATCATTCATTTCAATAATTTTCTTGTCGGCTTAGTCCCTTTATTTATCCTGGGTCGCCACAGCGGAATGAACCGCCAACTTATCCAGCAAGTTTTTACGTAGCGAATGCCCTTCCAGCCACAACCCATCTCTGGGAAACATCCACACACACATTCACACGCACACTCATACACTACAGACAATTTAGCCTACCCAATTCACCTGTACTGCATGTGTTTGGACTGTGGGGGAAACCGGAGCACCCGGAGGAAACCCACACGAACGCAGAGAGAACATGCAAACTCAATACAGAAACTGAGCCGAGGCTCGCACCAGCAACAAAGCGTCCTTCTTGCTGTGAGGTGACAGCACTACCTACTGCACCTTATTTTTATTGGTCGTTGGCCAATTTAAAGGTTAAGTGTATGTACCCAGGCCTATTTAGAGTGTTGAGATGTTAAGATGTTTCAGAGGGCTTATTTTATTTTTATGTTCCAACTTGGCCTGTAGTCTATGTTATGAATTAGTAATGTTAACGCATATAAACGACTCATTCATGAAAAAAAGACAAAAGAGCTGTGTGCATGTGCACATTTGGATAATGTCGGGCTATAAACGGGTTCGGGCTTTTAAAAAGCTGTCAATCAAAATGCACTTGTCGGGTTCAGGCTCTATCAGGCCTAACTTTTATAGCCTGATTACAGCTCTAGTTAAGACGCCCTCTCACAGTCAGCTATAACAGTTTAATTTCACTACCAGAAACTACTGTTGTTTTTTAATGCAGTTAACGGGTCTTGCACCTTCATATTATTTATGTGAGATGTTAAAGGTTGACAAACTGAACAGGGTCCTATGATCAGCAGGTCAGTTGTTGCTTTAGGATCTATTTAGACTTGCTTTTGATATTCGTTAGTACAAATGCTGTTTTATTACACATGTGTTCTTACCATTTTATGTGTTTTAATGTATAATTTAGTTTTTAATACTTTTTTTGCATTGCCGGCAATAAGTTAGACTTGTGTCCAGTGCATGTTGGACTCCAGCAGGGCTGCCGTTTTTCACCAATTTTGTTCAAAGTTTTTATGGATTCGCAGACTTAGTTCTGTTGGCTTCATTGAACATGGACCTTCAGCATGCAGTGGGGCGGTTTGCTTCTGAGTGTGACGTGGCTGGGATGAGAATCAGCACTTCCAAGTCATAGGCCTTGGTGCTTGGTTTGCCATCTCGAGGTTGGAGGAAAGTCCTCACCCCAGGTGGAAGAGTTTAAGTATCTTGGGGTTTTGTTCATGAGTGAGGGAAGGATGGAACATGAGATTGACAGGCAGATTGGTGCAGCAACAGCAGTAATGCGGTCAATGTACCGGTCCATTGTGGTAAAGAAGGAGCTGAGCCGAAAGGCAAAGCTCTCGATTTACCGGTCAATCTACGTTCCTACTCTCACCTGTGGTCATGAGGTTTGAGTCATAACCAAAAGGACTAGAGTGTCTGGAGAGAGGGAAGTCTGGGGTTCTCTCCTAAAACCCCCTGAAAAGCAGATGAAAATGAATGAATGAATACTGTAAAGCACTTTGGGCAGCCTCGTGGTTGTAATAAGGTGCTATATAAATAAAGTTTAATTGATTGATTGATCGATTAGCAATGTGCCACAAACATGCTTATGCATGCTAGCAACATACATAGTATTATTTATGCTAACAATTATGTTATATAGCTTGTTGTCAACATAAAACATATATAAACATTTTGTAATGTGCTAAGTCGATGTTATACTTCATAACAGCAATGTTACCAACATGTAGCAATATGATAAAAACCTATAGCGACATGCATGCTACAGTTTGCAATACTCATTTAGGCTTTTAAAACTTTAAACTTCTTTGAACTATTATACATGCTATGCTTTTAAAAGGACTTCAAACTTTGTACTGTAGCCAGGCTTTTTAAAGCCAGCATCACATTTTGTCCCTAGTGGTCATTGCTTTGATTGAGTTAGAACTTTTCTGCTTTGGAAAGGTTTTATCAACTTGTCTATGTGTCTTTTCCTTTTATGTCTACACAGTAAAAAAGGATTAGCAACTTATTTTAAAAATGGATAAACCTACTGTTGTAACTTGGAACTCTTAAGCTGACTTAACTTATTTTTTTATAATTATACATTTGTTCATTTACTTAAGAATTTTGAGGCAATGGGTTTAAAGTGGCAGTGTGGCGATTTTATTTGTACTTTTTCCGCAATTGATTTGCTCTCTTTTTTTAAGTAAACCCAACTAACCACTTTTTACAATGTACTCTTCTCTCTCTTAGCCCTGTAAACCTGACCTATGATGTGTTTGATGGGAAAGGTGACAGCACGCCACTGGTGTTTCTTCATGGCTTGTTTGGGAGCAAATCAAACTTTCACTCCATTGCCAAGTCTCTGGTTCAACGGACCGGCAGGAAGGTACGCCTCCAGTTTCACCAGTACTTTGGGCTGTTCAGAGGAGTCTGTTCACTGTCCTGACTGTACTTTGTCTAGTTAGGTGCTGACAATCGATGCTCGAAACCACGGCAAAAGCCCACACAGCCCTGTCTTGACCTACGACACAATGACTAGTGATCTGACACATCTGCTGGGACAGCTGCACATTGGGAAGTGTGTCCTGATTGGACACAGCATGGGCGGAAAGGTTGCAATGACTACAGCCTTATCACAGGTACATTGCTTCATTTATACTGTTGAAATGATGATGAAGTTAAAAAGTTAATTTTGATCATTTTAGGGGTTATGTAGGATGAAATGTTAGGAATGACCTGGTATCATAATGAAGGTGGAAACAAAATAAATATGCATTATTTTTGATAAAATATTATGAATAGCAAGAGAGGGTTGACCCTAAACTAAACTTATGTGGTGCGACTGTCATGCAGAAAAACATGAAGTATGAAATTGTTTCAAAGTAAAATGTCCCTCTTGATTTTGTGCCGATGTCTGATTATAAAAGATCTAATAATTAGATTTTTTATTACAAGACAGGTGGTAATAAAATATTTAGGTGGTAAAATCCTGATCTTTATTATATGTTTTTTAAATGTTTGGGATCAGAAGGATTGATTATATTATTATTTATTTATATGCATTAGTATAAGAACTAACAATGAAAAATACTTCAGAAGCATTTATTAATGATAAATAATGTTCATCTCGACATTTACAAATGCGTTATTTTAAAGGTTTGAGACACCCTGGGGTTTTTTTTTTTTTTTTAGATTTTACCATATTTGTTTGTTGAGTATCAGTTAAGACAACGTTAGCACCTGTCAGCTTAATTTTAGGGAAAACTGGATAATTTTGAGCTTTTGTCAGCTAATTTCATCTTCCAGGTTTAAAATAATTTTTGGGGCGGGGTCAAAATCGGTGACATAGCGCTGACCTGCCTGTCCAGTGAGAAGGTATTGGTTTCTCATTATTATTCATAGCAAAGTTTTCTTATCCTATGAGAAGTACCTGCTTCTTAAATATTCATGAGGGCATGTGCTTTCCGAAGGCAAGGCAGACCTGCCAAACTGTGTGACCCAATTACTGGGTGAGACACATCCGCGCATGGTAAGCAGTATTTAGCCGTTCATGATGGTTTGTATGGTTTGTTTCCATGATTCACAGTGTTTGTTTGCGTGGTTTTCAGACCAGGGCATTCAGGAGGAGAGAAGTCCTCCTCATTTATAGTGTTTATACAAACATGATTATCTTTATAATGGTATAACAAATTGTGGTTATGTGTATATGAAATTACGAATAACGAATGTAACAGGGCATTAAATTACTGTTTTTTTTTTGCATTTTAATCTTGTAAACTATAAAATCATGAATCTCCTCATGGTTTGTGTCTAGTTTTGTGAGCTAACTGACAGCAGTTGTTTGCTCACCTGTTTTCCCCTGCTTTGCTGGCCACGCCCACTCCTCCCTCTGCTCACGGTGAACCATGCCCATATGGGAGTGTGTGTGTGTGATTGTTCCATACCCATGTTTATTTTACTAAACAATTTTTCCAGGTTTCTCAATTTTGTATTGTTAGCTGTTCACCTTTCTTTTTTATTAAGAAGGTTCCAGTTTTCCCAGAAATAGCTTGAATTAACAGATTCTTTAAATGTTTTAAGATGTATTTGGATGTACTCTTCTTTATTTATTTTTTTATTGTATTTGTATATTTTTTAAGCTCCTCGCAGTACTGAAGACGCAAATCTGTATTCTCTCGTTGTCTGTGTTTCTGATTTGTTAGTTGTCTAAAGTTTTTTCTTAATGTTTTACAATCAAAGTCATACCGTTTTACTTTCTCTTGTTTTTGTTTAAAAGTTTTCTTCGTAGTTGTAATTTTAATAGTTTTTAATAGTTTTAATCTCTCTCTCTCTCTCTCTCTCTCTCTCTCTCTCTCTCTCTCTCTCTCTTTCTCTTTCTCTCTCTCTCTAATTCAGCCTAATTTAGTAGAGCGGTTGGTTGTTGTGGACATCAGTCCCTCTCTAACTTCAGCCCACACCAATTTCCATGCCTACATTCAGGCAATGAAAGAGGTGAAGATCCCCAGTGATATTCCTCGTTCCACAGCGCGAAGACTGGCTGAAGACCAGCTCAGGAAGATAGTTAAGGTAACCTTGTCCAAACACATCTGTAGAGGCTAAGCCTATTGCTTGAAGTCCCTGAGATGTTGTTAGACAGGCACCCAGCTGACGCACACTGTCCTCTGGCTGATGTAGTGTAAATGAAATGAACAGTCTTACTTGTTTCCGAAGATGTTTACGTTTATTGCAGTTGCAAACTCCAATAGTTCACAAATTTCCTTCCAGGTAAGTTTCCGTTCGTAGAAGTCAAACACTGCCACATATCGTGACTTACAAACAAAACAAACCGTCATGCTAAAGCATGAATGAATGTGTGTGGCTCTCTGTGTGAATGCGCGTGAGCGTTTGTTTGTGTTTGTGGGTATGTGTGTGAAAGTGTGTGCGTTTGAAAGTGTGTGTGTTTGAAAATGTGTGGTCAAAACTGTATGTGCTCCCTTCCGTCTAGCAACACCTGTTACCTGAATGTTCGTTCCCACTTATAAAGCCTGTTAAAGAGCACCACCTAGTGGAACAATGAGCAAAGTTGCCAAATGGCTCCTACATCCCGGCCCCTAATTGAATACAAATGTAACAATTCCCATATAATATTAAGGAGCCATAAAAGAACATCAGGCAATAATAGGTGCACATACATAATACTTCAAATACACAATAACCCAGTGGAGACACTTTAATAGTAGATAAGCTAAACTGATTCTTGCAATAGGCAGAGTTTAGTCACAGGCCGTTCTATTATACTACTTTTGGTCTGAAGCCGCACTGAACGCACAATCTTTTTCTTGTCTTGAAATGCTTCCAGCATTCTTGCTAGAGGCCATGAGCTTCGTGGTGCTGTAGGATCCATAATGATCACGATATCTCCTGGTTTGAGATTTTTTCTCTGTTCGTTCCATTTCCTCTCTTGCAATAATGGCGGTTATTCACGAATCCACCATTTCCAAAAGAGATCAGATATGTACTGAACTTGCCTCCATCGCTTTCTGATGTACAGATCATGGTGTTCAAACAGCCCTGGTGGCAAAGACGGCTTACCTTTCATGAGGAGGATATGATTAGGTGTCAGGGGTTCTAGATCATTTGGATCGTCAGATAACTTGGTGATGGGGCGGTCGTTTAAGATGGCTTCAACTTCGCATATTACTGTGTGGAGTCCATCATCGTCCAATTTTTGTTGATGAAGGACTGAAGAAAGAATTCTTCTCACCATGCGAATCATACGCTCCCAAACACCACCATAGTGCGACGCTGAAGGAGGATTGAAACTTTATTTGATGCCCTTTTGTTGTAGCATTCCTCCAATATTTGTCTGGTTCAAGGTTAGGAGTGCCTCTCGGAGTTCCTTCTCTGCTCCTTTAAAATTGGTACCATTGTCAGACAGTAAATTAACAACTTGACCTCTTCTACAGACAAACCGACGTATTGCATTAATGCATGCGTCTGTATTCAACGAGTTGGCTATTTCAAGGTGGACTGCTCTACTAGACAGGCAAGTGAATATCACGCCATATCGCTTGGCAGTGCCTCGTCCTTTCTTCACCTCTATAGGACCAAAGTAGTCAACCCCAGTGTTGGTGAATGGTGGTTTGTCCGGAAGAATCCTCTCCATGGGCAAGTCTGCCATCTTCTGTAGCATCATTCGACCATTTTGTCTTTGTCAACAGTCAGACATTATCTTTCTTACTGCCGAATTAGCACCTGTGATCCAATATTTCCTTCGTAATGTGGACAGTATGTGGTTTCAACCACTATGTCCGAGCCGTTCATGAATATTTCGCAGGAGGAGAGTAGCTATATGTTGGTCTTTGGACAAAATCAGTGGATGCTTAGCTTCCTCTGGTAGTGAACCTCTAGCTAGTCGCCCACCGACTCTTAGAAGTCCGTTATCCAGACGTGGATCCAGTTTGTACAGAGGGCTTTGCTTACTCACAGTTCCTTTTCCAGCTGACAAGGTAGCGATTTCCTCACTAAATCGTTGCTGTTGACAAAAGTGTATAATGGCAAGCTCTGCCTCACTTATGTCTTCAATGGACAAAGTGCACCTTTCATGCACTGGAACACTCTGCATACCCACATAAGAAGTCTTAGACTCTTTCCTCTTGTGAGACCGTTCCTGAAGCATTCGCTTATACTTAAGAAACCAAGCTACGGCTACCCTCAATCTCTTCCAATCTGAGAAATGCACATTTAAACGAGTGGTGCTATCTGAGGAGTCAGTTACACTTACTGCGTTAACTAAAACTTCTCTTTTTATTTCCGGATCATCAATTTTGATCACCATGTCAGCTCTATCAGCTGGCCAATCCTCTTCTGACTTATACAAGAAGCTTGGACCTACTATCCACCTATTGTGTTCAATGAAGTTACCAACCCTCAGACCTCTAGATGCATCATCTGCTGGGTTTTCCTTGGAACGAATGTACCGCCACTGTAAAGTTGTTGTTGCTTCTCTTATAATGGTGACCCTATTAGCCACGAACGTATGAAAACGTCTGTCTTCATTATTTATGTACTTAAGCACTGATGTGCTGTCTGTCCAGAATATTGATTCTGCCAGTGGGATTTGCAGCTCTTTTTTCAGCATCAGATCCATACGAACGGCAAGAACTGCAGCTGTTAACTCTAGACGGGGAATGGTAACAGTCTTTAAAGGTGTAACTCTGGCTTTGCCCATCACAAATGCAACGTGGATGACATTTTTGCTATTTTGGATCCTGAGATAGGTAACTGCCCCATATCCTAGTTCGCTAGCATCTGAGAAATGATGAAGCTGAGCATGTATGGCAGTTCCAAAGTCTTTGGGCTTGATGCATCTATTAATCTCAAAGTTAGACAGCATTTCCAACTCCTCTATCCATCTTGTCCAGCGGTGTAGTAGCTCTTGAGGTACCGTTTCATCCAATCCATAGTTTCTTCTGCACAATTCTTGCAGCATTATCTTTGCAGGTAGTAGAATTGGTGCCAGGAAACCAAGTGGGTCATACACTGAACTGGAGACAGATAGCATTCCACGTCTAGTACAGGACCGTTGACAAGGTGCCATTTTGAATGTAAATGTGTCCTTCTGAACACACCACTGTAATCCAAGGGCTCTTTCCATGGGAAGTTCATCTCGGTCCATGTCAAGTTCTTCCACACCCTTAGCTCTATATTCCTGTGGCATGGCTTGCAGTACATAGCAACTGTTGCTTAGCCACTTTGTCAAGGTAAATCCTCCCTTTTGGCAGAGCATGGTCAGGTGTTTGATCATTGTTACAGCTTTCTTCTCAGATTCCACACTCTTCAAGCAGTCGTCGACATAGAAGATTTCTTTGACAGTTTGTGGAATTTCTGCTGGAAATTCAGCCTGATTATCATCAGCTGTTTTCCTCAGAGAAAAGATGGCACAGCTTGGAGATGATACCGCACCAAATAAATGGACAGTCATGCGGAATTCTGACGCATCTTTCGTGAGATCTCCCTCAGGCCACCACAAGAACCGCAGAAGGTCTCTATCCTCCTCTGGAACCTTAACTTGATAGTACATTGCTTGCACATCCCCCATGAATGCCACAGGTTCTTGCCGAAACCTCAGGAGAACTCCAATCAGTGTGCTATTAAAGTTGGGACCTTGCAGGAGCTGTTTATTCAATGATGATCCTTTAAATGATGCAGAACAGTCAAATACCACACGCAGACTTTTCTTCCTGGGATGATATATTCCGTGGTGAGGGATGTACCACACTTTACCACTGCTGCCACTTAACTGCTGGGTAGGTACTTTCTCTGCATAACCATTGAGTAACATGTCGTTGACTTTATTGCGGTACTCTTTGAAGAAATGTTCATTCTGCAGAAACTTTCGTTTTAGACTTGTTAGCCTTTGTTTTGCCACAGCAAAGTTATTGGGCAGATGCACGTCTTTCTTAAGAGGCAGTTTAATTTGATAATGGTTGTCTTTAAGTGTTACAGATCTTTCCACAATATCCATGAACTTCTTGTCTTCCCTTGATAGCCCTTTCTCTTCTGTGACTCTTTCGTTAAAGTCATGATTATACTGGTTATTCAGCATTTCCTCCAATTTACATACTGAAATCCTGTTTACTACAGCTGACCTACATTCAGCATTAAGACAGGAGTCTTCTCCATGCACAAGACCATTAATGACCCATCCCAGCACGGTCCTTATAGCATATGGGCCATTCCCATGGCTATTAATAACCTCCCAAGGTTCCAACAACCTTGGTGCGTTGCTTCCAATCAACAGGTCTACGTTAGCTTCTATCTTGGGAGGTGTTAACCCTACCAGGTATGGCCATTTTACCAGAGTTTCAGCAGTAACAATGTTATCAGTGTTTACGGGCATTTTCTTTTGTGTTAGGGTTTGAGGAGGTTCATGGAAGACATTACCATTAATACCAGACACTTCCAGTCCTGTGAGTGAATATGCTGGCACCACCCTTTCTTGCCCCATAGTGCATAAGAGGAACTGGGTTCGTTTCCCAGTAAGATGAAGCTTTTGCATAAGCTGTTCTAAACAGAAGGTGGCGCAGCTGCCAGGATCAAAGAATGCATATGTCAGTATTACCTGATCAGATTTGATGGACTTGACTTGGACTGGCACAATGGATAACAGACACTGATCTGCTCCGGCCCCTGTATGTCCACAAGTCTCAGCAGTTGAAGCGAATGAGTGTGATGTAATATCTTTGTCAACTTGAGTAGAAGTACTTACTGTGACCTTAGCAACATGCGCTTTATGCATGCTAGCTGTGTCGCTCTTGTTAATATGAAGTACAGTAGGATGGCTTTGGCTGCATATTTTACAAGTTAGGCGTTTCTCACAGTCACGACTCATGTGTGAAGTACTCAAACAACCAAAGCAGAGGTGTTTCTCCTTCAGAAAATTAATCTTATCTCTGTGTTTTTTGCATTTGAACTGTTGACAATGTTCTAATAGATGACTCTGAGAACAGTATACACAGAATAAAGCAGATGCAGAGTTATGTCTAGGTGCGACGGTCCTTGATCCTGTGGTACACTCAACTTTTACAGGTGTAAGGGTAGTAGCAAAGCTTTTTCCTTTAGTTCTTTGTTTTGAAGATACTCGTGACCTATTGACAGCTCTTTGACCAGTTGTTGCAGATGGTGAGTCGCTAATATTGCCATACAATGGATCAGACAGAATTTGAACATGTCTTTCTATAACTCTCACCAGGTCATTGACCAAGGCTCTGTTTCCTGTTGTTTCCTGTAGGTCATGTGCAGCAGTCCTCCATTGCTCTCGAAGTTTAAATGGCAGCTTTAAGACAATTGCCCTTATGTTACTTGGCATATCCAGCTCATGCATATATTGAAGTTCCTCCATAACATTGCAGCAGCCTCGCAGAAAGAGAGAGTAAGCCTGTAGAGCATTAACATCTTCATTCTTTATTGAAGCCCAAGATAAAGCCTTTTCAATGTACGCCACAGCAATCTTGTACTTACAGCCAAAGTGTTCCTGTACCAGCTGCTTTGCTTTATCATAACCTAGCTCAGGCGTCATATACAAACAGCTGCGAACAAGCTCTCTTGGTTGCCCCCTAGTGAACTGTTCCAGATAGTACAAACAGTCGCTCTTACTAGCCTTTTCTTCCACTCCTTGTTCAAAAGCTCTCATGAAGGAGACATATTGGAGAGGATCTCCATCGAACAAAGGGATATTTCTTGCTGGCAAGGATATCAAATGCTGTTGTTGAACAAGTGATGTTGTATTATTCCTCCAGTGCACCCCTGAACTAGATCCTCCTGTATACCTTTGATGTGTATTTGGCACATTAAATTTGGTTGGTTGCTGATGTAAATTTCGGTTGATTTCAGTTGTTTGTTTATTTAAACCAGACCACTCCTTTGGTCTAGTGGTGGGCTGTTGACTAGCTTGATGTAGCACTCCGGCTAAAAGTGGGGGGGTTGTTGATGATGATGTCCACTCCTGTGTTTGTTGTGGTTTACTTTGAGGCACATTTAAATTCACTTGCCATCGGGTCCAGTTTGTGTGGAGGTGCTAAACTTTGTGTTTCTCTCGTCAAGTAAGAATTCATAGCATCAGATGCATTTTCACTGCAGAAATTATCAGAAGCTTCGAGCACGGACAGTCTGGCAGCAGTTTCAGCCAACATAGTATCCAACTCCTGTTGCTCTAATTTTCTCTTTATCTGCTGCTCTTGCTCTTCCAATGCATGCTTTTCCTTTAAAGCTGCTATACGAGCAAGCAATGCAGCCTTTTCCGCTTGTGCTTTAATTCGCACAGAAGAAGTAGTGCTTGATTTACTACCTGCACTTTTCCCTGAGCGTTTACTAGTGGCATTTGAAACACTATCCTCTGGATTAATACCATCACCAATTTGGCTACCAGTAGGACCAAGACTCACATTTTGACCAGAATTTGATAACCACATTTGCACCTTAGAAATGAGCTCATTATTGGCGATCATTTTGGCTTTAAACCACACATCATGTTTTTCTTGTTCAGTATCAGGTAACATACCCATCAAACACTCATGAACACCTTTTGATTCATCACAGACCTTAATAAAATCATCAAGTACACATTGAGCTTGTACAACATTTCCCTTTTCAATCAAACCATTCAACACATTTCTTAAACTGGCTGCCTTATTCAGCTTAGTTTTCCTTTCATTTTGCAAACGTCCCAGTTTATCAGCGAGCGCTTTAGCAGTCAGTTTAACAACGCGTTTTTCTTTTGATGTTTGCGCATCATTATCATGTTCGATAGTGTTTATTTCTACGCACGGCTCGGCAGGCCTGTCGATCGTTTCATTTGTCTCCATGACCTATTTCACGCGTTCACGATAAGTTCGCACAACAGTAGCAGAGTTCACGGAGAAATATGACGTTAATTACCCGCCCCTTGTGTCACCAATGCATTGGATTTTGCCCCGCAAATTGAACACAAACTGAATGGCCATTCATTGCATTGTAGCGCTACACATGCCTTGCGTTGGGCGCCGTTGTCCAGCGAATATGAAGACCATCTGCGTAGAACTCACGTCGTGCAGTGCTGATGAATAGCGTCGTCCGACGTCCTCCAAAACGCAGAGCAAACACGCCACAGCAGAACCAGTATGTCGATAGGCTTTGTGGCCTCCATTCAGACACAACCGGCATGAATCTTCAGGTCCGGCGCAACTCCCGGCGGGTCCGCGATGCGAAGCGACAGTTTTGACTTGATTGTAGAGGCTAAGCCTATTGCTTGAAGTCCCTGAGATGTTGTTAGACAGGCACCCAGCTGACGCACACTGTCCTCTGGCTGATGTAGTGTAAATGAAATGAACAGTCTTACTTGTTTCCGAAGATGTTTACGTTTATTGCAGTTGCAAACTCCAATAGTTCACAAATTTCCTTCCAGGTAAGTTTCCGTTCGTAGAAGTCAAACACTGCCACATATCGTGACTTACAAACAAAACAAACCGTCATGCTAAAGCATGAATGAATGTGTGTGGCTCTCTGTGTGAATGCGCGTGAGCGTTTGTTTGTGTTTGTGGGTATGTGTGTGAAAGTGTGTGCGTTTGAAAGTGTGTGTGTTTGAAAATGTGTGGTCAAAACTGTATGTGCTCCCTTCCGTCTAGCAACACCTGTTACCTGAATGTTCGTTCCCACTTATAAAGCCTGTTAAAGAGCACCACCTAGTGGAACAATGAGCAAAGTTGCCAAATGGCTCCTACAACATCCTTTATAAATAGTTCACTGAAATATTTAATTCTTTCAAGTGACATTAATTTATTTATAATTTTTTTTTGTATGTATATAAGTGTTGTTGTTTTTTTTTTTTTTTTTTTCAAACTCACATTTTTGTTGTTTACAGGAGCGTTCAGTGCGTCAGTTCCTCCTCACTAATCTGGAGGAGCAAAACGGTCAATATGGCTGGAGAATTAACCTGGAATCCATCTCAAACCACCTAGAGGACATCTTGGGTTTCCCTGAATTTGACACCACCTATGAGGGCCCTACTCTGTTTTTGGGTGGCAGTAGTTCAGCCTACATAAGGTAATCACAATTTATTTGTATGCAAATAGTAATCAATTCACATGGATACTATTTGTACATGCATATACTTATCATGGGTAGTTGAACACTCAGCATGACTGGTTCAATTAAAACAAAGACCTGCAATATATGTACCTGTGGAATATATTGCAACTGTAGTTTCATCCGTAGGCTATAGAGGTATATCCCGTGTTTTAGATTGACAAATGGGTTTAGGGTTAAATGTGTTATGTAAATAAACTACTTTTGACTATTTTCTTCAGGAAAATGCACAGCCTAAGGCGGCAAATTTATTACTGAATATTTAATTGAATCACAATGATAAAATTGCCAGTTTCTTTACATGTCAGTAAATCGACCCCAAATCTTTCTCATTTAAAAGCAACAGAGGAACTCGAGCATCATAAAAAGATGCAAAATGAGAGGTACCCTGAGCGTCAAAGAGTGACAACAAAAGGGTCCTGACCATGCATCAATATGTTTTTTTTTTCTTCTATTTTGGGCAATATGCAATCACAGCAACAACAAACAAATGACAACATATTTCTAATGTGTAAGAAAATGCTTTTCATTTCCTCAATTGCTTTGTTTTTAAGGAGATTTCAAATGTATTTAAACCATGTGATTTACCATGTGAAACCATGTGAAACCATTTGTAGTTTTTAATCAAATAATAATTGTTATTTTTATACTATGAAGACTATGCAGTGTTATTTAATTAACTAATTTCTGTAATTGAATACAGTTAGACTCCTTAGAAAATGTGATCTGTTTGATTTATGCAGAGTATCTGTCTGACAAATACATTCCAAGCAATATAAAATTATGAATTCTTTCCAAATTGAGCCATTCAAGTCATCTTTATTTATATCGCAATATAAATTGCAGAAAAATAAAAGATTGCAACGTCATTTTTTTCAATACTGTGCACCCCTAATTCCAGCCAATCATAACACAGATATAGTGTTCCCACTTAAGTGTTTACCATTTGTCCAACAAATAAAACTGTGTGACAAACCAAGCTTAGTAGAGTAATACTGGTTATTAACATGAAAAATGTGCTCATATGGGACTTGCAACACTATGGGACGTTTGAGACTTGCAATGCTTTTGCATATTAAGTGACTTTTTAAAATGAGTGTAACTGCTAAATGAAACAAAAAAACATCAACCATTTTAACACAAATCAAATACCGCATAGAATGTACTTTTCTATCAGTCAAGTAGTAGGCGATTTTGGACGCAACCTATATCTGTTTTTCTTCATACCACTAACCTCTTGGTTTTCCTCTAGCTCTGACGATTACCCTGAAATCCAGCGGCTTTTTCCTTGTGCCGATATCCAGTACATCCCAGATGCCAGTCACTGGATTCACGCTGACAAGCCTTTGGATTTCATCAGCTCTATAATCACTTTCTTACAGCCATAGACCTCGTCTCTACTGAAGATTGATGCAGGTGGGCCCAATGCTAAAGGCACAGTAACTGAATTGTTTAGGGTTTGGACTAAGATGAGTTCAGTCTAGTCTTTAACCTTATAATGCACAATCGAGCTGTTATTTGATTCCTGATAGTTAGTGTATTCATTTATTTCAGTGTGGTATTTACACTGTGGCTTAGCATAGTATATTATATACCATTTTATCTAGAGTATAGAGATGTTCTCCTAAACTTTCAGTCTAAAACATTTGTTTGTAGCTATCAAGTATAACATGTTACAAAACAGTGGATCCAGTGGCTTTTTAATGAAACATTTTTCCTTTATATTTAATATGATAGTTGAATTAGATTTTGATATTTATTAAATATCCGTTTATTTAAAAACTGTTATGATTATCAGCTATCTAGCGGTTGCAGATCTCTAATGGACTTCAAATCTGCCATTATGGACTACAAGATCCAGTCATGCACTACACGCACTCACACCGGTTCCAGATCATGACTGATTGCAGACACACAGATAGTAGATTGTCAAAGATTGATTACTAGTACTATATACACAGTACACATGCACACTTCATGGCTGAGTCTTCTGTCACAGGAGAGATGCTGACAAAGGGAGTGCGGATCCAAGCGCAGGTTTATTAAATAGATTGGTCAGGCAAGCAACTGTCAACACAGGGGCAAACTGATGTATACAGGAAATCCAGAGTCGTAGTCGATGATACAGGCAGATTATCAAAAGCCAGGCAGCAGGCTATGTAATTAAACAAACTAACAAGTCTAGGGTCAAAAACACGGCAGGACAAGGCAAGGAAAATGTGTCATAATGTTAACTAAACAGATTAACAAGACTCAGCCATGATGTGTGTGTGTGCTATGTATATAATTTTAGTAATCATCAGTCTTTGACAATCTTCCATCTCTGTGTTTGCAATCAGTCATGATCTGGAACCGCTGTGAGTGTGTGTGGTGCATGATTGGATCTTGTAGTCCATAATAGCGGATTTGTTGTCCATTAGCAATCTGCAACTGCTAGATCGCTGATAATCATAACAAAAACAATAGCACTGTAGACACAAAACACTCATAGCTAGTGATTAATTTGTTTTTCTTATTATTATGTTTGTGGAAGCATAAAAAGTGGCTTTTATTGACACTTTTAGTGGATGTAAACAGTATATTGTCTGTTAATAATGATACTAAAACTAGGTATTGATCTGTTAATAGTTTTTTGCTTATTATACAGATTTAATTCTTTGTACTTTATTTTCTACTCAATATATAATACTAAAAAAATCAATAAAAGTCACTTCAAATGCAGAGTTCTTTTTTTCTTTCTCACATATTTTTTAACAGTGTAGCTAAATGATGCTGGACTTGATTTGAACTTTTATTATTATTTTTTTTTAATTAAAGAGCATATTGTTGACATGGACACCCTTTCTCTAAGCTCTGATAAGGAATACAAAGATGTCTATGCAACAATGTGTGACTTATTTACCTGTTTTCCATCTGAAAGCGTCTCATCTTTTGATTCAGCGAGACCACAACACTTTGATGTACAGCTAGTCTGAATAATTTAACATTATAAAACATAATTTAGGGTATTTTCTTTGTTTGAAAACTGTTAAAGCTGTCGTAAGGCAGGAGTTTTATATTGATTTACAACAAATCACAGTGCTGCAAATGTTAAGACAACTTTCATAGCATCAGGAGAAGTCATGTACTGCATTTTTGTTACAGACACAAATTTCTTGGCCCTGGGTCCTTTTATTTTGTGTTTTAAAAGTAGTTCTGTACATTCAACTGATAATCAATAACAAGATCAAATATAAAAGCATGTGATGAAATACCTGTTCGACTGCACAGTTGAACGTTTTGTAACATGTACAGGTATATTAGCGTGATTTATGATATAGAGAACAATGTGCCTACCTCTGCACACTGTCTTTTCATCTAATCTAGGTAGGTTTATTACTGTTCTGGATAGTTATTGAAGTACCAAAGCAGAGGTTTATGGGATTTTCCTTGACCAGTGTGTGTGTGGCACACATATAAGATTAAGTCTTCAGCTTCTGTTATAAGGGGATATTTTTGTTCACTTGTGGAAGTGTTGAGTATTTTGTAAATCCGCATACGCTATATATACTGGTTATATAAATGTATAATATATTAAATATTATATTTATGACTACAGCATCTTAATGATTTATACATAAAGAAATATGCTGCAAAATGACATATCTTAAATGTCAGTGTGTGTGTTCTCTCATGTCACGTAATAATTGTATTGAATGTGTATATGGTAAAACACTAAAATCATAGCACTGCCATTGCTTGTTATGTCTATTCAGACACAGTTTGTGGTGTTTATGCGTGTTTACATGGAAATGTATCTTTCAGAATAATTTAAAAACAACTGCCAGTGATTTTTAACAGCACTAATATCTTTTGCCAGCTACTTAAAAACAATGATTGGGTCTTTGTGAAGATGTTTTTGCCTGGACTTTTTAGCAATTCAGTGGACTGTTTCATAAAGCTTGATGTCAATGAAAAGCTCAAACAATGTCTTTATTATGAAACAGCCCTCTCTGTTTTGAAGAATGTACTTGTATGCAATACTAAATAGGAGGAATCAGTTGAGGACGTAATGCACAGACTGTTTAAAAATAATATAGTGTCAGCTTATTCACAGTGAAATTAATATATACATTTTAGGTCTGTTATCTTGGTACTCAGAGTACTTGATATATTTTTAGTGTATGTAATGTATCCTTAGAGCATCAAACCTATTGTGAATTCATGCAGTATTGTTTGTTTGTGTGAAAGTGGATATGACTAAATGTATCGATATTATTTGATACAAATTGATACAGGCACTTATTTTAATGATATAATGTGTCAATAATGAGAGGTTGTGGAAGTGTGCGTGGTCGTGCAGGCAGTGATAGTTGAGTCAGTGTTGAACAGTTGGTATGGGTGAATTGCATGCTGGAGTGTATCTGTGTGCAGATTTGTTACTAATAAAAAAATGCGGACGTCTTAAATCTGCTTGCGTGGTTGATTTACAGTTTCATCAAACCATGTTTACATACAGTGGAGATTTAAATTAGAGAGAAACCTTCAATTTCCTAAAGCAACACTGTAATTTTTTTCTTGCGCTGCTTCCTCTTGTGGTTAAAAAGCACAATGGTTATCAACAAATAGGACGCGCTTTTTCACCTATATTTATTTCTATAGGGCTTTCTATAGGGTTTACATCTGGTCATTTTGTGCCTGTTTTCTGATTGGATAGCTATAGTTTAAATGGCCTCTGAAACACATTTGGGGTGGATATATATCTGATTGCTTAATTCACTTCCAACCAGGCTCATTCTGAAATTTTACCTCTATATACATCTCTGGAGACCGCCAAATAAGTCCCAGGAGCTACGTTTTTTGCAGTTTTTGTTTTTCCACCTGAGGCCTTTGTGTACACTTTTTAAGATCTATTTATCTTTGTGTACACTTTTTAAGATCTCAAATATCTCTCGCGAGTGTCATTTGCACCTGCTGTTCTCATGTAAATGCACCAGAGGCCGCTGTCGACTGACTGTTTGACTAACTCAATGACTGACCCACCCTCCTCCTTCCCTAATCCCAAGCAATTGTATTAATTGACCCGATCACCCCCTTCCCTAAACCCAACCGACAGTTTTAAAAAGCAATCCAGAAAACATGAAAAGTCCTCTTCGGATTTTTTTTTACCCCACTTCCAGATTTCAGCACATTCTGTGACGATTACACAAGGAAACAAGACGTGGAACCCAATTGCAAGTAAAAGAATGTTTAATGCTGGCAAAAGACAATAAACAAAAAAATGGTGAGTGGCTGGGAGTATATAAACTGGAGATGGTCCAATTCGGCAGCGCCGATCAATAGTTCATAATACTTATCAACAGAGCGGATCAAACAATAATCGTGGAAGCAGGAAATGTCTCTGATATATTCCTCAACAGAGCTGATCAAACATTCATCGTGGAAGCAGGAATGTCTCTGATATATTCCTCAACAGAGCTGATCAAACATTCATCGCGGGGAAAACGGGTCATCAGAAACAGCAACAAGGAACAGAAACCAAACCACTCACCATCAGCGATCTCAACGAGAGGTGCCTGACAAAACACAAAAGACCGTGAGCAAAACAACAAACTAACTAGGTGAGACAGGAACGCTGAACATTTATAGGCACGTAAATGCGCTACACCTGGTGTGTGCGGATTAATTGCCGTATGAAAAACGGGCTTCACTTTGGATACATGGAACACGGGATGAATTCTCCTGTACGCTGGAGGTAATTTGAGGCGGATTGCCACAGGACTAATGATCTTAGTGACAATAAAAGGGCTGATAAATTTAGGAGCTAGCTTATTACAGACGGTGTGGAGCGGAATGTTTTTAGTAGAAAGCCACACTTTTTGACCGACAACGTAAACGGGAGGCTTAGACCGGTGGCGATCGGCTTTAGCCTTGGTGCGCGTCCCCACTTGGAGGAGGGTCTGTCTGGCCCTATTCCAAGTGCGGCGACACCTCTGGACAAAGGCGTGAACGGAGGGAACCGCAACTTCGGATTCCAGACTGGGAAAAACTGTTGGCTGGTAACCTAAGCTACACTGAAACGGAGAAAGGCCCGTGGCAGACACTGGTAATGAATTATGTGCGTACTCCACCCACGAAAGTTGTTGACTCCAGGAGGATGGATTTTGCGAGACCAAACATCGCAATGTACGCTCAAGATCTTGATTGGCTCTCTCAGTCTGGCCGTTACTCTGGGGATGAAAACCAGAAGAAAGACTAACAGTGCCCCCCAATAAATGACAGAATTCTCTCCAGAATTTAGAGACGAGCTGTGGCCCCCTGTCAGAGACCACATCCCTCGGGAGGCCATGGATGCGAAAAACATGGTCAATGACAGCAACCGCTGTTTCTCTGGCTGATGGTAATTTGGGCAGAGGGATAAAATGAGCAGCCTTTGAGAACCTGTCCACCACGGTCAAAACTACCGTGTTACCGTTAGAGGATGGAAGACCCGTAACAAAATCTAGTGAGATGTGTGACCAGGGTCTCGAAGGCACTGACAGCGGTTGGAGGAGTCCAGCAGGTGGGCGATTGGAAGACTTGTAAACTGCACAGACAGAGCAAGCCAAAACAAAATCGCGCACATCACGAGCCATAGCTGGCCACCAAAATCGTTGTTTGATAACAAATAATGTGCGACTCACCCCTGGGTGACAAGCTATCTTGGAGGAATGACCCCACCAGACAACGTTGGACCGTAATCCCTCTGGCACGAACAAATGACTCGGTGGGCATCCGATCGGGGGCGTTACCCCATCCAGGGCTGCACGGACCCTCGACTCGATCTCCCAGGAAATGTTCGCTACGACGATGTTCTGAGGAAGCACAGGGTCAGGAGATGACTTACGATCTGAAGGATCGAAAAGACGTGACAACGCATCAGGCTTGATGTTTTTGGAACCTGGTCTGTAAGAGATGGTAAAATTAAACCGGCCGAAAAATAATGCCCACCGAGCCTGCCTGGAGTTCAATCTTTTAGCGGATCTAATATATTCAAGATTCTTATGGTCAGTCCAGACGATAAAAGGCACCCCCGAGCCTTCTAGCCAGTGACGCCACTCCTCCAAAGCAAGCTTGACGGCCAACCATTCTCGATTACCAATGTCGTAATTTCTTTCTGCAGGAGGTAATCGATGGGAAAAATACGCGCAAGGATGGACCTTGCCATCCAAGGCGGAGCGCTGGGACAGTATGGCTCCGACCCCAACCTCTGACGCATCAACCTCCACCACAAACTGCCGGGAAGGATCAGGGGCAATGAGTATCGGGGCTGAAACGAAGCAGCCTTTTTTTTGGAAAAGGCAGCCTCGGCTGCGCTGGACCACCTGAACGGCGTCTTGGAGGAGGTCAAGGAAGTCAGAGGTGCGGCGAGCTGGCTGAAATTGAGAATAAAACGCCGGTAAAAATTGGCAAAACCCAGAAACCTCTGCAGGGCCTTACGGGAATCTGGGGTTGGCCAATTTACCACAGCCTGAATCTTCTCTGGATCCATGCGCATCCCCTCGACTGACACGATATGTCCCAAGAACTGAACCAACTGTGCATGAAAAACGCATTTCTCCGCCTTGACATAAAGCCCTTTCTCTAGCAGCCTCTGCAACACTCGTCTGACATGCTGAATATGTTCCTGGAGAGAGTGAGAAAAAATCAGAATGTCATCCAGGTAGACATAAATAGCAAAGGATAAGTATTCTTAACCGTGATGCTGTTCAGCCCTCGATAGTCTATGCACGGACGAAGGGAACCATCCTTCTTTTTCACAAAAAAAATCCCGCCCCCGCCTAAATCAGAGTCAATAAAACTCCCTTCTGCTCCTGAATCAATGAGCGCATGACAGGAATAAAAGTTCGATTTAAAATCCAGTTTAATGGGTAGGAAAGTGGAATCAGAAGAGTTTTTCCCTGTCATGACTTCCCCCACCAAAAGGCTCTTACCAGCGGATGATTTATTGCTCTTGGCCGGACATAAAGCTGCTAATGACCAGCTACCCCACAATACATGCACAAGCCCCCCGTGCGATGACGACGTCTTTCCTCTGATGAGAGGCGGAACCTTCCCACTTGCATAGGCTTGGGCTCTGGATCGGGGGGTGAAGTCTCCAGAAAACAGGTCTGCGATCGGAACTCCTTATCCGTACCTCTGCGCTGCATACGGTTGTCCACCCTTATGGCCAGGCTGATGAGACCGTCCAACGTCTTGGGTAACTCTAAAGCGTATATCTCATCCTTTATATGGTCCGCGAGTCAAGAATGTTTAATGCTGGCAAAAGACAATAAACAAAAAAATGGTGAGTGGTTGGGAGTATATAAACTGGAGATGGTCCAATTCGGCAGCGCCGATCAATAGTTCATAATACTTATCAACAGAGCGGATCAAACAATAATCGTGGAAGCAGGAAATGTCTCTGATATATTCCTCAACAGAGCTGATCAAACATTCATCGCGGGGAAAACGGGTCATCAGAAACAGCAACAAGGAACAGAAACCAAACCACTCACCACCAGCGATCTCAACGAGAGGTGCCTGACAAAACACAAAAGACCGTGAGCAAAACAACGAACTGACAAGGTGAGACAGGAACGCTGAACATTTATAGGCACGTAAATGCGCTACACCTGTAGCGCGCTGATTATCAGCTGAGCGGAGCTACGCCACAGTTCCGGTAACAATGATCATGTGACCCCTCAGCTGATGACATGAAAACAAACAGCCACTGACAGCCACACGACTCCCACACAAACACAGAGAGAACAGCACACATACTAGAAACACATACCATGTTAATGAACTGTCACACAACGCAGACACTTCAAATAAGGAGCAGATGGATCCACAACCGTGACACATTCTCACCTCTTATTTACTTGTTTATTTTATTTTTTGGTTTTTGTCTGACCTGCTTTCTGGAACCGTTCTTTGCTAGACTCGAACCCCGTTGTCGTGGTCAACTCCTCTCCGCGTCTTAAGTCCACTGACGTACATGGCGAGCTAACAGGACAAACTGGTAATAGCAGGAAAGCCGCCTATACGGAGGTAAGCGGTCAGCTAGTAAGCGTAAAAAAAGGCGTCATACCACCCCATAGCGTTCATTTAAAAAATGAAATGCAGCCAAATGTAGCTCTGGCTACATAATTCACAATCTCCAGAAACATATATAGGGCTACATTTTCAGAATGAGCCTATGTTGTCCACTTCAGGCCTGGACAGATCTCAAGCCCTAGCTTGTTGAAATCACATATGTAAATTTGACTCCTCCCTAAAATGAATGTATTTGTAAGAGAGGGCCATATTACATAATCAGATGTAACATTGCTAATGCAAAAATGCAACAGCAATGCCAGATGACAGATTGTGGTGTTTCTTTTTTCCGTTTAGTTCTGTTTTTGATTGTAATCTTTTATTGACATGGCTGAGTGGATGCAAATGTTTATCAGAAACTCTTTCAAAAAGGGTCTGGATGCAGACCTGATGCAGTGCAATCTGGGCTGCATCCAATGCTTTTTAATGGGTTCACCTGACCCCACCCCTAATCCTACCCCTCACCGTGACGTCACTAGCTCCATTTGAGTGCATTGTATCTGACATTGCATCACTGAGTGATGCAATCTCAGCTTGCATCATAAAGGCTGCATCCAGATACTATTGACTCCTTCAGCAACATGTGGCTCCTTCCCTGCATTCATTACTCAGTCCAACAGCAGTTTTTATGCAAGACAATTAGCTCCATCATACAGCAAAAGCTGAAAACAGTGACACCTTAAATGCATTGCTAAATTATGCAATCTCATCTTGCATCATAAAGGCTGCATCCTGATACCATTGCACAGGGCTTCAGCGTCAATACTTGACAGAGGGCGTGTCTGAAGTTGGGGCTGAGGCGATTGTCATAGCAGCATCAGCCAATGAAATCAGCAATCGGCTACTGTCTGAACTGGTGTATGTGCGCACAGCGATCTGATCGGCTGACGCTTCCGACGGATCCATAATGCAGTTCCCTGACGTCACTCATTCAAAGTGAATGGGAAGCGTTGACGCTGACGCCCCGTGTGAATGGGCCATGAAATAGTGAAATGGCCGATTAGACTCCTGATTAAACCTGATTGAATATCTACAGAAATGTTTATTTTTTGTTCCCCACTGTATGCACTCAGTTGCTAATTTATAGATGCACCTGTTCAACTGCTAATATATAATTGGCCAATCAAATAAAAGTAACTCAGTGTGTTTTTGCATATAGACCATCTGCTGTTGAGAAGTTCAAAGTGAGTCATGAGTAAAGAAAGGGGATTGTTGGTGCAAGACAGGCCACTGAGTAATTCAGAAAATAGAGCCTTATAAATCAGCCTTAAATTATCTGTTGTCATTTCTGTCAGCTTTATTCCCCTTTCTTAATATATTACTAGGAAGTATAGACAAAATATCACATCCTTCATTCATGTAGGTCAACAAGCCTTTTAAGATTCTCAACACAAAACTGAAACATGCTTTTAAAAGGGATAATTCACCCAAAAATGAATATTTACTCACTATTTACCCACCCTAAAGTGTTCCAAACGTTTTTTTTTTTTTGCTGAACCTAAGAGAATATACATTGAAGTAAGCTGGAAACCTGTAACTATTGACTTCCATAGTAGGAAAAAAACAATAGTCTGGAAGTTAATTGTTACCGGTTTCCAGCTTTTTTCAAAACATCTTCTTTTGTGATAAGTAAACAGTGAGTAAGTGACAGATTGTTCAGTTTTGGGTGAGCTATCCCTTTAATGTTTCATAACAGTATTCCAAATATTATTTACATCCCCAGGACAGACATCCTAAGTGTGGTGGGGCAAAATCACTGAAACTGCCTCATTAGTCCAAAGAAACGTTATGAAAATTGTCCTCTTTGATCATCCTCTGTGGTTTAGTCTCCACTGGTTCTAGTGAAGTGATCCGTCCACGTCTGAACTTGTCTTTCCACCTCTGTGTTGCTGTGGGTGACGGGGACTCAGGAATCGGCACAGTTGCTTGTTTCAGAGTGGGCAAATAGTCAGGTTTTGGAGGAAGGGGTTTATTTGAGCGCCGCAGGACACCAAACCCTCTGGATTTCTTCTGAGCCTGCTCTTCCTGCTGCTGTCGGAGGAGCTGGTGATGAAGGATGGTCTGTACATCATCCTATGAGTAACATGACAAGTGATTTTTATAAATTCCAGTCCAGATGGCAATACAAGATTGAGAGCAGATGTTCTGCCTACAAATTGCACTTAATACAGTAAATACTATCAGTTTTTTGAGGTTTCAATTAGTTTATTTTTGAAATGTGTTTTTTATAATTACATCACTGATTTTTGGAGCTTTTTTAAAGTTCATTAAACATTTAGACTCCAAAATGTTTTGCATGTCTAAATATCTCTTTATTACAATGTAATTAAGCAGATAATAGATACTAAATGCCAAATTTAAGAAAAAAATATTAATCATAACAGAACACAATCAATAAAGAGATGTTATTATTTTCATAAGTAATAAATTGCACATAAATTGCAAATCTGGGTGTCATCTTTGATGGAGCTTTGTGGGTTAATAATCATGTGAAAAAGTTGGACGTCCAGCGTCTCCAGACTCTGGCACCTATAGACTGCAGCTCTGTACAAGAAGTTTGGCCAGAGGAGAAATGGTCATGCTGAAGAAATTAAGGCTCTGAGAATCCTTGTACCAAACGTATGTGTGTTGTTTCATGAAAGCAACATTAATTTTTGTTGTGTTTTATTTTGATATGTTTATATTTATTTATTCTTCATTCATTCGTTTTCTTTTCGGCTTAGTCCCTTTAATAATCTGCGGTCGCCACAGCTGATTGAACCGCCAACTTATCTAGCACATGTTTTACGCAGCGGATGCCCTGCCAGCTCGGAAACATCCATAAACTCTCATTCACACACATACATTATACATTATATATATATATATATATATATATATACATACATACATACATACATACATACAAGCCAATATACGCATACACGCCAACACGGGGAGAACATGCAAACTTCACACAGATCTTCTATGGAGCGTTTACAAGTTGTGCAGAATGCAGCTTTTAACCAACACCAGTAGAAGGTCGCATATTACTCCTGCACTTAAGGCTCTTCATTGGCTTCCTATTAGTTTACAAGTAAATTATAAGATTCTGGTTTTTACATGCAGAGCTCAGCATGGTCAGGCCCTGCATTACATTCAGGATTTTTTGCATGGTCACTCCTGTGGTTGGTTTCTGAGGTCTTCTGGTAAGACATTTTAGCCATTCCTCCACATCTTAAGACTTGTTTTAGTATGTTTTCTTTTATTGATATGTTTTTTTTTTAATCTGTTTTGCATTTTTCTTGTATTGTAAATATTTTGTGGCTTCATGTCTGTGAAAGGTGCAATATAAATAAATCTTTACTTACTTACTTTAATTACTTTCTTACTAAATGAATGCCAATATTTCAGACAGCCTTTAAAATCCAAAATTAGCTAACTTTTTTTCATTTATAATAATTCAGTCTGCAATTGTTAACATACTTTCCAGGCCTCCAGCTCTATAGACAGCTCCAGTCGACTCTGAACAGCTTCCAGAAGTTGGTTGTTCAGTGTCATCAGTTCATTCTTGCTTTTCAACAGCTCACTCTCCATAGCTTGTTTCCTAAATTAAAAAAAAATGTGATTTATGTGCCAACTAGCAAGTTTACAATTATATAAATAGCCGAGTGATCAACTGAACTCACTTTACAATGGCGTCATCTCTGTCCCGTAGAGCTTGCTGTAAAATGGCAGCGTCTTCTCCAGACTTCTCCTTTCCCTGTCAAAGGAAGTGAATTTTAACTTAAATAGCACATTTTGTTTCCTTTAACATCTTAAGTGATAAGTCGAAATAAAAATCCAAAATTGAACACTGACAAGCCAATTATTTGAAAGCTTTTTAGTCGGAATCTATGAGTTGGGAGCTATGTTTAGCCTTAATGGTCCCTTGAAGTGCTTTGAAATGTGTGTGAAATGTTTTTAAAAAACAGCCAATAGCATTTTATCGCAGCTCTCCCAGTGAGAGTGGTTAACCTTAAGTACATCAAATGAGAAGCATCTTGAAGGGGGCGGGGCATGTCAGAGACATTTGATTGGTTATGATTTAATGAGAAGCTGTAGTTTGAGGTGAAATGAGTATAACCGAAGTGACAAACTGCAAGCTTTACGTGTTTATAGAAGTTTTATATCTTCTAAATGGAAATTTTGTCAGTGTTTTGGAGCCCACTAGCTTATAGACATACTAAAAACTAACCATACTGATACTAACATCTAAAATATATATATATATATATATATATATATATATTTTAGATGTTAGTATCAGTATGGTTAGTTTTTTTTTTTTTTTTTTTTTCATGGGACTTTTATAATGTTTTGTGAAGAAATCCCCTGTTGTTAATGCTGCATTTCCACCAAATATACTGGATTTAATCTTTTTGTGAACTTGTCTTCTTTCACAGATAATTCTCTGCTCACACATATTTGTGTAAGTACATGCTGTCTTTTTCATTACCTTCAGATCAATGACACCTCAGGGAGAGGTACAAGCTATTTTTTCAAAGCACTTTAAAGATCTTTTCAATTGTTCTCATAACAATAGGAGCTTGTGAATGTAATGGTTGCATAAGGCCTTTAAAAAAGTGCATAAAGGAGGTGTGCCTCATATGAGCCGATGGGCAAGGCTAAAGCTCACCTGACAAGTGTGGTTAAGGGCGAGTCTGCGTGCCACTTTCTGCAGCTGAAGCAGTGCGGTGTCTAGAGGGTTGGCCCGCGACTGCTGGTCCACTTCTGCTGATTCTAGATCAGTCAGTGGAAGCAACAGCTTCACAACAGACTGAAGCTCCTCTGCCACCTGTAGACACGCCACAAAAACAACGATTAAAAGATTAAGACAATCCAAATTCACATCTAGTCTGTCAGAAACTGCCGTCACTAAATTAAAAGTGTGCAGATCTATAAGTTAAGAATGCAGACTCACTCGGTATTTGCTTTCGCTCCAGCCGGGTCCACTTTGGTGTTGTTGTTGCAGCCTATCTACCTGAGCCTTGAGTCTCAGACTGCGCTGGCGAGATAATTCCACTTCCTTCTTCACATGCTTCAACTGCAGACACAAACACAGTGTGTTATTATATGAATGTAATGTAATGTGTTTATTTGCTATACACACACACACACAAATATGTTGCTGCTTGTTCAAGCTACTTATTTAAAATAAGCTGAATCAACACAACTCTTGAGTTTTTTTGGGGGGGAACAACTGAATTGTTATGTTCAGCCCACCTAAATTAGTAAAAACTAATAAGTTAATTTAATATTTAATTACTTTGCATCATGTTTGGAAATGAATATCTTTTAAGACATCATAACCCAATGTCAGGCCAACCTAAAATCAACTAAGTATCAACGTCTAATGATGTTACAGCTTGACTTTGTAAGGACGTTACGTTATGTTGTCATTGCACATCAAAATATCGATGTCCTTTAGACGCTGATTAGACATTGAATTTTGGTCACATGACATCATGACCTAAATCTAACATAATGTTAATGTCAAATTTAGGAGAAAATCTTAAAAATAATTGGCATGTCAGTCCTGAATTTAATTGAATCCAATTGCTGAACACACAAAAATGTTGTTTGCTGTTTGTTCAACGTACTTATTTAAAATAAGTCTTAAATTGCTAAGACCAAACCACAAACTATCTAAAAATGTTTTCAGCAATCTCCTATGAAAAGAAAACATTTTGAAAACACCTGATCACAATGAGCTTTTAATATATCAAAATCACCTTTATATGGCAGTATTTATATAGATAAAGTAAGACATTATGTTTTTAAATGTATTTATTTCAAAACAAACACACAAAAACATTTTTAAATTTATTTTTATGAAAATTAGTGTTTTATAATTAAACATTCAGCTATTTTTATATATTTATCTATATATGTTTTTAAATATTTAAAAGTATTTTATGCATTAAAATTGGAAGAGTATCTTTATTTTAAGTCTAAAAACACTGAAAGTGAAAATGTAAATCAATCACTGTGTGAGGTTAGATATGCAGACATCTTGCTTAGCAACGATCTTAAACATGCCCTCACTCAGCTTAAAGTAATAAAGCTAAAAGTTCACTCCAAAATTTGATTCTGTCATCATCTATTCAACCTTTATTGTTTCAAACTTTCACAAGTTTTTTTCTTCTGCTAACACAAAATAACGTATCTTGAAGAATGTTGAAAAACTTTAACAGTAACTTGACTTCCATGGTAAAAGTATGCTTCAGCAGCTTTGTGAAATGGTTTTCAGTGAAAACCCTTGGTGCTGTTTAGGAGAACTCTTAGTGTTGAGATAAAAGGTGAGATCAAATATGTTGTGAATATGAGACCTGACACATTTGTTGGTCCATCAAATCTAATCAGGTCATCTAATGTCATTTATAACCTTGCTACACTGGATTTACTGAACAGAATTAGACTTGGAATCTTGCCATTCCAGTCAAATGAACAGGAAACGAACAGGTAAATTATATTGGTTACTTCCTAGTGTATCTACCGAGAAATGTGTCAGCTGAATGTTTCAAATATCTAAACGTGGTGTGTCAGATATGTGTGTCTTTTAATGTTTTCAATTATTAATACAGGCTGTGAAACCAGCTTTTTGTTGAAAGATTGACTATAAATTAAGATTGCCTTGTTCATTTTTAGCTCAGATTAGTCATGTTGCTTTAAAAAGAGCTTGGTTGAATGAAGAAAGAATGGGTGAACATTTGCTGAACAATGATTGACCATCTGGTCCTCTCACTGATCTGCATTTGTTGTTTGTTTGTTTTTTTAATGATGGCAAAATAACATTTCTGATTTTGTTGCTCTGTCACAGTGTTATAACCCAATACGACATGCATTTTAAATGATCTGTCTGAAGGTATAGTGACTGGTGAGAGTGAATTTTTTTTATTAAAAAGACTATGTGAACTATAGGCTATTTATTTGGAATGAGCAGAATATAACTAAGAAATGTTATTAACTTTTCTACAATTTTCTTTGAGAGCTTGGATGAATGCAATCAGAAAAATCTGATCAAATTTATATTTACAATTTCAATATACACACTATTAAATAAATGTAATGTAATTTTTTAAAATGTATAGTCTATACGTTTTAAAATAGTATATATAAAATCTAATTTTAAAACGCTAAAAATAAAATAGTAGTATTAATACAATTTTTAAACTTCTATATTTTTTATTTGTTGTGCAATGCAACATTTTCAAAGCTGAAAATACACAGCAGGAAGTTTCTTCAAGTCGAAAAATAATTGAATTAAACTGATTGAAAAAGAAAAATCCTTGAACAGAAAACAAGAATTTATAAACATTTTTTAAATTGAATAATAATCTAAAAATGAAGTAATTCTGTCACATTTAACATCTGTTTAAAATCAGGAAGAAATACATGTAATAAACAATGAAAGTAAAAAATAAATCTTTGATAATAAATATAAAATAAAATAAAAAACATTTAACACTTCTGCAAATTTCTCCTGGGGGTGGGGAAGAATAATGCAATATCAGTCCAGTTATGTCCACAAAAACATTTACAAATAAGAATAAACAATAATAAATCTTAGCCATATAAAAATGACGTTTTTAAAATATAAAATAATCTTACATAAATAAACAAATAAAATAATTAATAATCATTTAAAAATGAAACAATACTTTATATAAATATCATCATAAAAGCTATCTGCACCTTACTGGATTCCCATTCTGCATCCCATTTGCCTTTTGTTTACATGGTTTTCCCTTTACAGTAGCCTACAGTGTTCCTTGATTTTGAATCACTGTTGCTCATAGTCATAATACTAATGACTCACCGTTACAGACACCGGGCTGGACACTCTTCTGCGCAGTGGGCTCCCGCTCCGCAGCAGATCCGGTAATGCTTCCTCAATATACGAGCGGCGGGGCTTCTGCGGCGCGTCCGGGTCACTATCATGAATCCCTGTCGTGAAGCGGGGATCATCTTCAGTCGAGACACTGCTGTCATTCACTGCAAGTTGCTCTTGTAACTCATCCAATGTGCATAACGGCGAACTGTTCGACTCCCTGTCAGTGTCAAGACTCGAAACGGAATCCTCGTCGTCGGTCAGTCGTTTGTGCACCTCCTCGGTGGTCAGTGGAGACTCCAACAGGTCCCTGATGGTGCTTAACGTTACCGGCGAATCTCTCCTGTTGGTCTCCATTTTGTTCTAAATGAGGACAAGACAGAATGCATGTTCTTATCAGGGAGAGAGAGAAGACTGAAACTGAGAAGAGGGAATGTCTACAAACCGGTTTTTCCTGAAGTTTGACACAGAAGTAACACGAGGACGTGCGTCAAGCAGCCGTCACATATGCGCGCGGGACTGCGGCTTTACCTGCGCGTTTAAATGTCAACATGCGTGTTGGTACACGTCTGTGAAAGAAAAACGCCCATTGATTGTAAACAAAACATAAGGCCTATTGTTAGGTTGTGTTTTTTATTTTTTTTATTTTTTAGACCTATTACCCTTATTTGGTTAACTTAATCTCATATTGGATTCAGGCACCATGGGGTCAATTTGAAGCCTTAATTTTATTAAATAGCATTATTTGATCCAATCAGTCATTTTGTACAAATATAATTAGTTTTATTTATCAAAGATGCATTAAATTGGTCAGTAGCATCTCATATAGCACCGTATTGGGTTGAATAATGCTGAGAAGTCAAATTTGCTTAGATCAATAAATTATCTTACAGTTTATTCAAATATTTACAATATAAACTTCAAGGCATTTGCTTTAAATAAATGCAGCTTTTGGGTGAATACAAAACATGTTTTTTTTCCTCTATGGGCCCAAAGGCAAGGTCAATTAGGCCTACAGTACATCAAAAACAGACTCAGGAACAGTTTTACCCCTGAACCACTGGAGAGCTTAACACTGATTGACACCATTGAATGTTCCCACTATTTGCACTAAACACCTACGTTTATACAGTACACTTTACTTAGTATTCTACCTCATAATTATTTGTATGTGCAATCATACAAGTCACTAATGTTTACAAAAAATTATGCATACATACATACATATAATTTTTACATTTTGAAAATGAATATTTTTTATCCATTTCTCAGTGAATATAGGCAATGTATTTTGGTACATCTAAACAAAACAGATTTATTAAACATATTTATTTGTAAAAATTCAGTCACAAAACATACTTAGAAATTGACAGATAATACATTCAAGCAAAATATTGCAAAAAAAAAATCACAACCTAAATTTCAACTAATTTTTAAAAAAATTTTTGCTTCTCTTGATTTTTCCTGGGGCGACACAGTGGCGCAGTAGGTAGTGCTGTCACCTCACAGCAAGAAGGTTGCTGGTTCGAGCCTCGGCTTAGTTGGTGTTTCTGAGTGGAGTTTGCATGTTCTCCCTGTGTTCGCTTGGGTTTCCTCCGGGTGCTCAGGTTTCCCCCACAGACCAAAGACATGCGGTACAGGGTAATTGCAAAGCTAAATTGTCCATATTGTGTGTGTGTGTGTGAATGAGTATGTGTGGATGTTTCCCAGAGATGGGTTACGGCTGAAAGGGCATCCGCTCTGTAAAAACGTGTTGGATAAGTTGGCGGTTCATTCCGCTGTGGCGACCCCGGATTAATAAAGGGACTAAGATAACAAGAAAATGAATGAATGAATGAATGATTTTTCCTGTTATTTGAATTTAATATTTTCTATAACTGTTATCATAAGTAATTTTGTTAGATAAGCTCCAGATATTGCTTCAATCTAATCTAATGTACATGCACAAACATAATATTATAGCTTCCTATTAAAATATCAATCTAAGATTTGTGAGGGGTCTACTTATGCTGAGCACTAATATATATATATATATATATATATATATACATACATATTTATGCATATATATATATATATATATATATATATATATATATATATATATATATATATATATATATATATATATATATATATATATATATATATAATGCAAACATTAATATGTCATTCTTTAATGAGCCTGTTTATTGTAGCCTAATTGTAATATTTTATCCACTTTAAAATATATTACCCTCCCTAAAAGCACTATGAAAGAAGCAGTTTTGTGTTGTACATGTGTAGCCTGTGCTGTGAATAGATCAGAAAAACTGTTAAAAGTATTGACAAATTATAGCCTTTTCAGAAAATCTATAAGCCTCCCTCAGAGAAAGCATAAGTGGAAGTGGAGAGAAATTGCATGCATATTATAAAGGCTAGGTGTAATGTTGTTAACATTATCTGATCTGTCTAAAGTAAACACACGAGTACAAGCTGTTCCACTTGGCTATAGCCTCAGCTTTACTCAAATAACAGCTGGGCTATTTAAAGTAGCCTAGATATGGGAACTCCGACTCGTTTATTCGGATCGGCTCTTTTGAATAGTTTATGTTGAAGAACCGCATAAACGATTCAGAGGTTCTTTAAATTATATATAAAACAAACGCACAATATATGATTATGGTTTGTTTTTATATTTTTTATATTTTATTATTTTATATTTTATTAATAAATTTTACACTTTAGATAAAGTAAAAATTTAGTTTTGTCTATTTTAGACTTAGTTGTAATTCCTATTTAGCACTTAAAACATTAAGTAATTTGTATTAATTATTATAATTATAAAATTATTAAAACATAAATATGATTGCTATTTACATAGAACAATGTTAAACAAAAGTTTACTCGAGACAAAATCCACACGGAGCTGATTAGATTGATAAGCAAGCAAAATGTTCGACCGAAACAATTCGACTGATTCACTAAAATGATCCGACTCGTAAGAACGATTCGCGACACTGACATCGCTGTTTTACAGCCAAAGTCAAGTCTTCTGGGCAGAGAACTGGAGCACAATTAAAGGCTGTATAAAGAAACGACAAAAATAATCAACTTCTGAAGCGGTTTGTTCTTGGAGGTGTTGTTTATGAGCGTCGTCTGTTGTTATGAGCTACAACTGAGGCATAAAAAGGTTACTGAAGGACGAACGGCTAGGTGAGTGAATTCAGTTCGACTCAATTACATTTTGCAGGAAAACAATCATTAAAATCATTATTATTTATTAGTATTCAATGAAATACTGGTATGCACATGTCTGTGTCTGTGTGTTAAACTTTAAGGCATTATTTTGAAGCACGTCCAATTCATCAGAATGACAAAAGAAGAGGAAAACCCTGACTGGGTTGGTGGACAAGAATTTTATGACAAATATGATCCAAAGGAGATCTTGGGAAGGTTAGTGTCACCCTGATGAATTTGTGTCTGCAATCTATGACAAAATTAATAGCATAAATGCAAGTCTTACATCAAAAAATAGGCTATTTTAAATATGGGATTTGAAGTCTTGGGTTTGTTTTGAATTTTTCTCCCAGGGGTGTGAGCAGTGTAGTTCGCAGATGTGTGGATAAACGGACTGGTCAGGAATATGCAGTAAAGATCATAGACATCACACCATCAGACAAAATGACACCCCAAGAGATACAAGAAATCCAGCAGGCCACTGTGAAAGAGATCGACATTCTTCGAAAAGTGTCTGGACAAAAGAACATAAGTATGACTATCTACTGCCCCTCAAAGACTTTCACATCACATTCAACAAAATCGAAGGTTATGGCTCTATAATATAAAAAAATCTATTTCATTACAAAAGTAAAAACTGCAATTGTTTTTTTTGTAACAACATACAAATGTAGGTTTTGTTTGTCCCTGGTAGTTCAACTCAAGGATTGCTTTGAATCAAAGGCCTTCTTCTTTTTGGTATTTGATCTGTAAGTAAACCTTTTTTTCTTTCATTGCATGCAACTTTCATGTCTGTGCCTCATTATTTTTATTGACAAAACACATCAAGGACTTGAGTTAAAAAAAAAGTCTAAGTAAAAAAGTGCTTTTAGTATAAAGTATTAAGATTATATAAAAAAACATTAAAAACAAATCTTAAAATTAACGGAAATAAAACAGCAGCTGTGATTTTACGGTAAATAACCAGAGCTTTTTTTATACCAAAGTTTTGAAGAACAAACATCTGCACAACTTAACATTGGTTCATAGATAATACACAACCATAAGCAGGTTTGGATGAGAAAGTCATATGGTGACCCAATGCCCATCACAACTTTTCCTACAAGCAAAGAAATATACTAATTAGGGCTGGGCGATTAATCGAAAAGTCATCGAAATTGACATTCATAATCTAAAATCGATCAAATTTTTATAGGCCGTTTATTTTTTATTTACTTTTCCTACTGCATGCTGAGTCATGAGACCCCACTTTGTTAAGACTAATTTATACTTCTGCGTCATCCGCACGCGTATGGTGCGCCACAGCCATCACGTGGTTGCATATCTACGCACCTCTCAAAAAATGTTACTTTATGTCGTGATGACACATTGCGCAGGCTTTGTGATTGGTGGGTTTGGTAGCGGTGATGAGTGTGGGTGGCACGGATTAATTTCAGCATTGATGTTCAATAAACAATCCTAGATAGTAGATTGTGTGTGTTTTCTTTAATTATTTTAAAATCAAGTAATGCACCCTCTATTTAAAAAATCTCTCACTGCTAATATTTGAGCATATTTACTGTACAAAACATGTCCGTGAACTATAAGTGCAAAGAAATGTAATTAATGAAATAATCAGCAATCAATTGTCATCCAGTTAAAATGTTCAATTAATAGAGATTTTGATTTTAGGCCAAATCGCTCAGCCCTAATGTTAATGTTTCGAAAGTGCTCAGTGTCATTCACACACTACTAAACTCCATCATGGTAACACACATAAAATAAAAGTAGTGCAATAAACATTCTTTATTAACATTAGATGTAACATAAAACTATAATGTGCATAACTCAAAAGAATAAACTAAAAGAGCTATAGTAATGTCAACAATAAAGTATCATGCTGGGATTTCCAGGAAAGTGAATCTCAGCGGTTTATCATAAACTTTTCTATGATCATTTTTACTGCAATTGACAGCAAGAATGAACATAGAAGCGTTGTCTGATTGACAAGCAGCAGCTATATGTGTTCAAAAGAATCTAAATTGCCAAGTAGGATGAATCTATGCCGCATTTTGTAGAATCTTTGAACTGTCAAAACACCTCTAAAAAAAGCTTTTTCGGACATTACATATTTGTACATGTGTACATTACTGTAACACATTTTATTCAAGAACATTTGAGCTGCTTTTAGTCCTTAGCTCTTTCATTTTCGTTTTATTTAAAATATATTTAACTTGCTTGTTAATTAAATCCCATTTTGTTATTTAACCTATTATTTTTATGCAACAGTCAAGTAACACGTTCATTTGCTATGAAGAAAATAGAAGGAAATAATATTTTTTGCATGCTGATTTATGTGAAACCATGAATATAGGTCTACATAATCACCTTGCAATTTTGAGATTATAGCTTTTTTTGGCTTTGAGTATAGACTATTCAGTTCATAAGAGCAGTTTAATCTTTTAAAAAGTTTTTTTAATAATAAAATCAGTTGTTCACTGTATACAAATGTAACATTTTGAAATATTTATATTTATCGGCCTATATATCGGCAATCTGCCTCCAAATCTGAAGAGTTATCGGTTACTGATTTTGGCCAAAAAATCCATATCGGTGCATCCCTAATTAACGATTCAATTTCCATGTAATTTACCCAAAGGACAGAACATTAGACAGTTTCACCAAAAAACTGAAAATTCTGTCATCATTTACTCATCCTTTATTTATTTCTTCTATTTAACACAAAATAAGATATTTTGATGAAATTTGGAAACTGATAATCTATTCCATGGTGTTTTTTTCTTACTATAGATGTCAGTGGTTACTTTTTTTCAAAATATCCTCTATTGTGTTCAACAGAATAAATAAACACATAACGCTTTTGTGTCAGTACATTTTTTTTTTTTGTGAACAATATGTACAGTTAAAGTCAGAATTATTAGCCCTGCTCAATTATTTGCGCCCTTGTTTATTTTTTTCCCCAATTTCTGTTTAATGGAGGGAAGATTGTTTCAGCACATTTCTAAGCATAATAGTTTTAAAAACTTATTTCTAATAACTGATTTATTTTATCTTTGCCATGATGACAGTAAATATTTTACTTGATATTTTTCAAGACACTTCTATGCACCTTAAAGTGACATTTAAAGGCTTAACTAGGTTAATTAGGTGAACTATGCAGGTTAGGGTAATTAGGCGAGTTATTGTATAACGATGGTTTGTTCTATAGACTATCGAAAAAAATTTGCCTAAAGGGGCTAATAATTTTGTCTAGCCAACGTAAAACCAATAAGACTTTGTCCAAAAGAAAAAATATTATCAGACATACTGTGAAAATTTCCTTACTCTGTTAAAAATCATTTGGGAAATAATCAAAAGGGGGCTAATAATTCTGACTTCAACTGTATATAAAGGGTCCAGATGCATAAACCTCTAAATGCCGTCAAAATTTTCTTCTAAAATTAGTGTTTTTATCAGGCTCGTGTTTAGGTCCAGTAATTTCATTTTTATGGCAACGAATAAGTTTTTTCATTGTTTTCAAAGTGAAATAACTCATCAGAAACAAAGAAGTCTGAGACTTCTGCTCATTTTCTATTGTAATTTTAGACGGCACTAAGAGGTTTTGCATCTGAACTCTAACAACTCTTACTAATCAGAAAATTAAGGATTGTATAGAAGGAGATTTACTTACTATTCTAATGTGTTTTTTTTGCCATTAAAGTTTATAATTAGGAGAACAATTTATTCAATGTATTTTTGTATTTTCACAAATATATCCATACAATATAAGCCTAGTTTTGTTGTCCAGCATAACATATTGTTTTGAACTACTAAAAACATCAGTAAAAGTCACATTTATTCAGTCATCATTTACTCAACCTTCATTTTTTTTCTGTTATACACAAAATAAGATATTTTGATGAAATCCAGAAACCGATAACCTATTCCAAAGTAGTTTTTTCCGACTATGGATGTCAGTGGTTACTGTTTTGACCTTTTTTCAAAATATCTTCTTTCGTGTTCAACAGAATAAATAATCTCATAAAGCTTTGTGTGAGACAATGTTCAGTTTTGCGTGAACTATACCTTTATGTGTAAATGGAACGACTCTAAAAAACAAGTTTCTCTTAGTTATTTCTTGTAGAGCTCAAGTCCAGGCGACTGCTCAATCTTGCTGTTGTGTTATTTACTGGTTGCTTCCTATTCAGATTTCCCATGTGTTCCCTGTGGAGATTAGCCTATCTGTTAGCTGGCGCTCTGCAGCATACAGATAAGAGACTGGCTATTCTAAGAGCCACAACAGGCTGATTGCCAAGATTAAACTGTTGCTTTCAAAGCCTGATTCTCCATTCAAAACATGAGCACAAATCCATCCAAATTCCTTCCCTTGTCCAGCTGCTGAACAGATTTAATTACAGTTTCTTAGAAATTCTGAAATGTGCCAGCTCAGTTTACAGGCCTTGACATTCACTTTTGTTTGTTTAAATGTGAATGCTCTTTTAACAGGATGAAGAGAGGAGAGCTCTTCGACTACCTCACTGAAAAAGTCACTCTAAGTGAGAAAGAGACACGGTCAGCTTCCTTTAATAAATCTCTCAGCTCTTGTTGATGCTACTATATTTAGTTTTTTTTTTTTTTTTTTTTTAGTAAATATTGCATATTTTCCGCCAAAATATAAAGCAGCATAACAGTTTTCAGCATTAATAATGTGAAACAGAAAAAAAAAAACATTTTTAAATATATTTAAATACAAAACATTTTACGATAATACTAATTTTACAGTTTTTAATCAAATAAATTAAACTTTCTTGCATATTGTACACATGCGTTTAATTTGTATGCAGATGAAGACTGAATTATTATCCTTTATTAATATGGGGTTGCCACAATGGAATGAACCGCCAACTTACGCAGCGGATACCCTTCCAGCTCCAACCCATCACTGGGAAACATCCATACACTCTCATTCACACACATACACTACGGACAATTTAGCTTACCCAATTCACCTATAACACGTCTTTGGACTTGTGGGGGAAAGTCCTTGATCAAACGGGAAAATTGGGTTAATTAGGCAAGTCCTTGGATAACAGTGGTTTATTACAAGGGTTCCCAAACTTTTCAGCCTGTGACCCCCAAAAGAGCAATGCTAGTGACTCGCGAGCCCCAATATGCTCTGAGGTGGTTATACATATACAAATCTTGCATGCAACGGCGTGCACATACCAATAGACCCAGGTCTATTTTTCATTTAATTTTAGAGAACACCCATCAGAGATCATCCTTCATGTTCAGTTGTGGCCTGTATTTATTGTTAATGTTTGTTTAACTTGGTGCCATAAAATTAATCTGTTGCAACTGATGCTGAGTCTTAAATGTAACATAAGTCACAACATATGCATGTTGTTTTTTTATTAACTATTAAATTTTATTAATTTTTTAATTTTTATAAATTTTATTATTAAGTGTATGTGTGTGAATGAGTGTGAATGGATGTTTCCCAGTGATGGGTTGCGGCTGAAGGGCATCCGCTGCGTAAAAACTTGCTGGATAAGTTGGCGGTTCATTCTGCTGTGGCAACCCCGGATTAATAAAGGGACTAAGCCGAAAAGAAAATGAATGAATAAATGAATGAATGAATGACTTAAGCAGGCTGATAATATTGATCATTTAGCTGTTTTAATTTTTTTTTATTTAGATCTATAATATATCTATAAGGGTTAAGGATATATATAGTAAGTACATCTAGACTATTTTAATGATTTTTGACATTAACACAATTATCATTTTTACAGTGTATTTTTGTCTTTCCCTTCAAAAATACTATTGCAAAGGTCTGGTATTGGTCTGGTTGTCCATGGTAACATATTGTTTTAAACTTCTAAAAATATGAATAAAAGTCACTGTAGAGTAAGTACAGTAGAGTTACATATTAAATATCAAATGAAAATAAACACAAACTGTATTTTTGTTAGTTTTTTCAGTGTAGGCATATGCAGAATAAATAGAAATTAAAGTGATTTAAAAATACACTTAATGACTTGAACGATTGATTATTAGCATGCCATTTTCTCTTCTCAATCTGTTAGAAAGATCATTCGAGCTCTCCTGGAGGTGGTTGAGTATCTTCACGCTCACAATATAGTCCATCGTGACCTGAAACCAGAGAACATTCTGTTAGATGATGATGTGAATATCAAACTTACAGACTTTGGTTTCTCCATCCAGATTGAGCCTGGACAAAGACTGAATGGTGACTGACTGAATGAACATCTTTAAATATACTAGAAGCCTTCTGAAAAAATAAAACCTGCAGAAATTGAAGTTTAGAAATGGCTGTCTTTGTTTTCTCCTAGAGGTTTGCGGGACACCGGGTTACTTGGCTCCAGAAATCATAGAGTGCTCAATGGATCCAAAACATTCTGGCTATGGGACTGCTGTTGACCTGTAAGCAGCTAAAGTAAAGAAGCTGGTTGTGATGTGCTGTGAGAGACTAGTGATGACTGTGAGAGAATAGGGCCACCATTTTAAAATGTATTTCAGCTTGTCAAGTGTTCAAGGGAATTTTACATGGACATACCCTCGACCCTTCGATTTTGACTGAGGAAGCTAATCTGCTTCATACTGACTGTCCAAATGTGACAAATGGGACAGACAGGAAACGTAAGCTTGTGCTACAAGTTTTGCAGTTTGCTGCATTGTAAAGTTCAAGCTTGACCTGCGAAATTGCATCACGTGATTGCGTGAGACCAATAAAAGATTAAAACATGACCTCTCTATACAGAAATGTCACATATACACCAATCGCTTGCTTTTTTAATGTCTAATCATTTAATCCCGCCCCTTTTCGCAGTGCAGTACGACAGAATTTCACATTCTTAAGTGTGACCATGGCATTAGTTGCTTTAGCTGTGTTTGATAAGGATTGGAGCTAAACTCTGCAGGACTGGGCACCCCTGCTTTACAGCAGTGTTTCTCAACCATGTTCCAGGAGGACCACCAACACTGGATGTCTCCTTTGTCTGTCACACACATTACAGGTCTATCAGCCTCTGCTAATGAGCTGATGATCTGAATCAGGAGTGTTTGCTTAGGGAGGATGGAAAATGTGCAGAGCTGGTGGTCCTCCAGGAACGTGGTTGAGAAACACTTGTTTAGGGCTTTCTATTTAAACCCATTTAGATGTTCCGTGGACACTTGTGTAATATAATCAATGATGAAATTAGAGTCAATGAATAATATGGAGGAAGGTTTGTGAGTAAAGGGCATAAAATTAGACTGGTATGCAGCCTAGTACTGTCCTGTGAGAAACTAGTGATGTCTGAGGGAGACTAGTGCTCTGGGTTTCATTCGGAAGGGCTCATCTCTATGCACTAATTTCTTTGGAGGGACCCTCAATAGGGATTAGAGCATTTAGCGATGAATCCTTTCATATTAACTGCAGTTTTTGACGCCAAATAACTTCCCTACCTAAAGGATCATGGCCTGAAATGTTTGCAAGTGGTTGTTTTTCAAACTCGTTCGTTCCAAAGTGCCCTCCAAATGACTCCAACACTTTATGGCTGTCATGATTATTTTCACTATAAAGTGCCTTTTGGAGGGTGATATATCTCATTTGGAAAGCACCAGTGATGTCTGTGAGAGACTAGTAAAATTTTACAGAATCCTATTTATGCTAAAAGGTTCTATTCTCTTAATTTTCCACACAAAATAGGGGGTTTTGTATAATTCTGTTGTTGTTTTTTTTTGTTTGTTTTTTTGGTGAAACACTGCTATACACTAACATGGTAAAACCACCATTAAATGTCTTAAAATTTCGTAGACTGCATTATTTTTGAAAATAAATTGGTATTTTGTTCTCTAATTTTGATCTTCTCTGTAACCACATGAATAGTGACAAGAAGCAGAATAAACTGAATAAGGCTACTTGAATAAATCAACTCATATTTAGTGCATGATTGTGATCCACATAATAACCCTCTTTCGGCCTGCTCTCATCAGCTGGAGCACAGGGGTGATCTTGTACACTCTTCTGGCTGGATCTCCACCATTCTGGCACAGAAAACAAATGCTGATGCTTCGCCTGATTCTTGCAGGACAATACCAATTCAACTCACCAGAATGGGATGACCGTTCAGACACAGTCAAAGACTTGGTGTGTATTGCTCGTTTTAAACAATCCAATACAAAGTTGCGCCAGATTGTGGAAAGCAATACCTTTTCAAACTCATCTTGTTTTCCTTCAAGATTTCTAGACTATTAGTTGTGGATCCTGAGAGTCGATACACAGCAACAGAAGCGCTCAATCATCCCTTCTTCCAACAATATGTGGTTGCGGAAGTTCGCCATTTTAGTCCTTATAGGAAGTTCAAGGTACACAAGTTTATTCAGATGACTTCAAAAGCATAGTCCGATTCTAGTCATTCACTGTTGTTTTCCTGCAGGTTATTTGTAGGACTGTACTTGCTGCTATGCGTATCTACTGTAATTATCGTCGTGCCAAACCAGTGACCAAGGAAGTGATCCAGAGCGACCCATACGCCATCAAACATCTGCGTAAAATGATTGACGCTTGTGCCTTCAAGATCTATGGCCACTGGGTGAAGAAAGGCCAAACGCAGAACAGAGCAGCTTTATTCGAAAACTCTCCAAAAGTCATTCTGCTCTCCATCGCGACTGAGGAAATGGATGCAGCACAGAGGACTTGGTGAGGGTTTACCATCAGTTACTAGTGGATACAAGTTACCTTGAGACCATGTTGATAACGGTCCAAAAATATAGACCTTTACTGCTAAGATGGCAGTGGGGGAGAATTATTATTAATTCAAGTAACATTTATTTAATAAAGTATTCAGATTTATTAAAATTTTTGTTGATAACAGATGAGGAAATACTTTCTAAACTAGGGATAATTAATAATGATAAAAACAGGATTAATTTTTATTTGATTAGCATTTAGTGATCTAAAACTAACATTACGTTAGCATATATCACTAAAATACTACTGAAGTGTTAAGAACTCATTAAACAAATAACAACAATAGTAATGGGCATACTAATACTTTGGAAAATATAAAATGCATTATTTTATTAGAAATATAAAGAAATTCTTCAACAAAGAAGTAATAAAAAAAGTCTTAAAGAGATTTGAATAAAGAAAACAATAAGATAGTTTGGTATGATTTTATTTCACAGCAATACAAAACAGATATGAAACTAAATTCCAGAAGTGTGTTTCTCCACAGGAGAAATGTTCTATTAATCTCAAGTGCACCACTGGCATCATTCATTATTTTTGTGCGGCTTAGTCCCAGATACATCAAGGATTGGAATGAACCACCACCACTGGCATCATCTAGTCTTGAATATCTGCTTCTTAAAGCTCAGTTCTTTTCTGTTTTGCACTGGAGTTCATAGCACAGCGGAAGCCCAGGTTATCAGAGGCTGAATCTGCTGTGTTTCCCATCCTGCAAAAAAAATAAAAAAGAAAATTATTTCTCACTAGTGAGGATGACAAACCACCTTTAGGCCTGGAACTGTTAGAAGCTATTTTTATTTTATAATTAAAAGTCTAATAAATTCAGACTTTGAATAATATCATGAGAACAGTATGCCTGACCTAGTCGTGACACGAGCTCTGTGATTGGCTGATCCGTCGGCTGTGTCGATCCAGGACGCTCCACGCAGTACAAACATGCTCTGAGCTCCAGGAAAACTGGAGGAGGTCCATTCCCACACATTACCCAGCATATCATATAGACCTGAAACAAGATGGCATGTTAATGTTAATCTTTAGACTGAGATCAACATGTTATAATACATATAATAAATAAGGATAATTATATATATATATATATATATATATATATATATATATATATATATATACATATACATATATATATATATATACATATACATATATATATATATATGACCCTTTATAAAATAAAACAAATATTATTCTATAAAACAGAGTTGTGGACTTTTTTTCCAAAGATGTATACATAATATATTACACCCACACATACATTTCCTTCCCAATATTTCAGGTTTTAAAATGACATTTTGAAAACACATTATCATCTAATATTGTGATATGTTAATTATATTTTTGTGATAATGTAATTTTTAAAAATTAAAAAAAAACTCACAAATGAACATTTAACTTAAAATGAATGGCAAATCCAGACAATGGATAACTCTTAAGTGAACTCTTAACTAATTTTCAGAGCTGTATCAAGTCATTTCACTCAGCGGCCATCTTTGAAATACCTATCAGGCAGTATGCTCGGCCATCCTATTTGAATAGGGAAACATCAAATTCTCCAAAACTCTTTTGTAAATTTCATATTTGAAATCACCAATAAAATTAAACAAATACTGTTTCTTTAGTTTCCTTTCTAAATGTTCAAATCACACAAAATCTGCAGAAACTGTCATTAAAAACTCAGGTCTGGTCTGACCCACTCCCCCAGATAATCGTCAGTCTATAACGATCGATGATTGGCTCCTGTATTAGAAGGCGGAGCTTCATTCGCTGTATTTATGTTAAACTTTTGCCCATTCAAAACTACACAATTGACACATCTTGTGAATTCTCAAGTCTTTGGCTGTATGTAGTGCAGTGGTTCCCAACCTTTTTTTTGCCTGAGACCCCCTTTTCCCCTGGAAAACATTGTAAGTCCCTCTTCCACATTTAATGATATTATCACTCATATAAGTTTGCAGTAAGGATGACAAAAAAAAATTGTCCTCAAACTAACAGTGTTTATTACTATATCTAGATATGTTTATGCACAAATAATACTCTAATGTAAAATATTAAAACAAAACATCCGTATGTAATTTATAACTGAAAAACCATTTTCTCAGAGGATGACAAACTGACAAAGCATTGCTGTCACTCTGAAACAAGTTTTATTTATGGAGAAAAGTACAAAGCACTGCAGTGTTTGTGTGTTCTGTGTCTGTCTGAGAAAATTAGGCCCAATCCCAATTCTACCTCTTAGCCCTTACCCTTACCCCTCGTTTTGCGCGTACACGCCAAGGAGTAGGGGTGTCTCAATTCTCCTTAGCTTGAAGGCGTAGGGCTAAAGGGAAGGAGTGAATAGCACTTCGAATGAAGATTTTTCAGGATCACACTTAAAACCATGGGGTAAGAAAATTTCTTAGAATACACCAGCCATGACGGCAGTTTTACCGAAATGTGAATATTCCATACAAGCTGAAGCTGGTCAATTTTTGTCACGTGACTTGCGCTGCGCTCGTAACCAGTGTTCAAGGCACACACATTCATTGGAAACTACAAACTTGTGCAAACTCTAGAAATACTCGATATGCGAATGGCCCCTAAAAGGCCGCCGTCATTTGCGATCTCCATCAGTTGATCTTCTTGCAGACATGCTGGATTCACCTGATTTGTAGACAAATGGTTTGCGAATCCATACCTTGGCAGTTCGTGGGTCCTTCACTAGGTCTTTTCCCCTTAGCAAACTTTCCAAAGACGTCTGTTGTGGGTTAAATTTGGGCACTCAAGTGACCAAGATGTAAGCAAGAGAGTACGGTCATTTTTCAAAATAAAAGATCATTCATACTCAGATCATAAATAAAATGGAAATAACTAATGATTTCTTGTGCGGCACGCTACCAATTGATCCTCGGACCGGTGGTTGAAGTCCACTGAGCTAGGCAACATGATCATTCTCCACTGCTGAGAATTTTTTAAAATATGAAGCGACCCCTTATAGAGCTCGCTGAGGCCCCCTTGTGGGCCGGGACCCTGTTGGGAACCGCTGATGTAGTGTGTGTATTTATTACCACATACCATAGTTATTCTGTGGAGGATACGCAGTTACAGGAGCGACACCATGATAGCCATCTTCAGCTGAGTCCTTATCAGGAAACGGGCCCTTTGAATAAAGATCTCACCATTTACCAAAACACTTACAAATATACACTTGTCCTTCATGCTGCGTGCAAGAATATACCTCAACTGACCTGCCACAGGTTAGTCCGGTTCAGCAAGTACTTGTTGCCCCATGGATATGACCTGCCTAAAATAGTATGTAAAATTATAGTACATAAAATGATGCATGACGACAGTTGTTTAGGCGCTGAGGGGCATAAGGCGTTTTTGGCTTGCCTTCCAGTCCTCCACGGGCAGCCATTTCCCACTCCTCCTCGGTTGGCAGTCTCTTCTTCTTCCACTGACAGTAAGCTTGGGCATCATTCCAGCTGACCTGCACCACAGGACAATCCAGTCTGTCCTTGATACCAGAGCCTGGTCCTGCTGGCTGCGCACAACAAATCAGAGTTGACAGACAGTCAAACATTCACAAAAACAAATAAAAGAGCACTTTTGGCAGGTTTGTTTGAATAAAAGCATCTCTAATGAGACTCAATAGGTGTGAGAACTTATTTGCACATTGGTGGAACAAGTAAAGACTATGGTGGCATCGTGCGTTACATCGTAGACAAGGTACACCTGTCCAACTGCTCATTAACGCAAATTTCTAATCAGCCAATCACATGGCAGCACATCAATGCATTTAGACATGTAGACATGGTCAAGACAATCTGCTGCCGTTCAAACCGAGCATCATAATGGGGGAGAAAGGGGATTTAAGTGACTTTGAATGTGGCATGGTTGTTGGCACCAGACGGGCTGGTCTGAGTATTTTAAAAAATGCTGATCTACTGGAAGTTTCATGCCATCTCTAGGGTTTACAGAGAATGGTCCAAAAAAGACAAAATATCCAGCAAGCGGCAGTTCTGTGGGTGCAAATGTCTTGTTGATGTCAGAGGAGAATGGCCAGACTGGTTCGAGCTGATTGAAAGGCAACAGTAACTCAAATAACCACTCGTTACAACCGAGGTATGCAGTAGAGAATCTCTGAACACCCAACACGTCCAACCTTGAGGGAGATGGCCTACAGCAGCAGGAGACCACACCGAGTGCCACTCCTGACAGCTAAGAACTGGAAACTGAGGCTACAATTCACACAGGCTCACAAAAACTGGACAATAGAAGATTGGAAAAAAATTGCCAGGTCTGATGAGTCTCAATTTCTGCTGCGACATTCGGATGGTAGGGTCAGAATTTGGCATCAACAACAAGAAAGCATGCATCAATCCTGCCTTGTATCAACGGTTCAGGCTGGTGGTGGTAGTGTAATGGTGTGGGGGATATTTTCTTGCCCCACTTTGGGCCCATTAGTACCAATTGAGCATTGTGTGAACGCCACAGCCAACTATGCCACCATGAGAACAACAATAGATAATTCACCTCAGATTTTGACATTTTCAGATAGTTTTTGACTTAGGTTGATGACTGTGAATTAAATGGGAGTTGAAAAATAGCCTAACCATAATAATAGAGCATGGTATGAAGAGATACAGTATAGAAAAATTTACATTATCAGAACTAACAATCAACATTATGATAAAACTACAACTGAAAGAACAAACAATGTCCCTGATATTCCACGACTATGACAGAAAAGTAAAAACCCTGAGAACCCTGCTTAGGGTAAAAAAAAAAAAAAACTGATTTTAAAGACACCAGGACTAAATAGAACTGTACTGTACAAGAGTAAACACACTCAAATAACAATTTAAGAGGTATAATGAAAATAATTTTTTTATTAAATGAATGCATTACAAAAAAACTGTATTTAATGATTAATTTAATTATTAATCATAAATAAATACCTATTACTAAATAAAACCAGTAGATGTCACCCACTAAAATTAATATTTGATATATAAAGTCTACATATAAAGTATAAACTACATTACCTGTCTCCAGAATACTTTCTCCACTGGTAACCACCAAGGTGCAGACTAGGAAATAAGACAACAATAATTTTCAAGACAACAGAAGTTTACATAATATATAGAAAGCATTATGTGTTGTTATGTATTACAGCTTTGGATCCATACCTCAATTTTCTGAGTCACTTTACTTTTCAGTTCCTCTGATACAAAATCCTGGAACACAAAACTCCAGCCAAATGTTTCAGCCTCTGTCTTATATTTCTGCAGTCTGACGAATTCCCTGGAGTAAACAGAAGCAGTTGTATAAGCCAGAAAATCTAGCAGTAAAGAGGACAAAGTGTACTAGTTTTTGGGGTGAAGCTGAAGTTTACCTGAAGTTGGAGTTGGTGACAGGATATTTGTCTATCTTAAATGGCTGGAGAGCCACAGCCCGTGTTGGCGATTCTCCATCTCTCCCATCAGCAGCACTTGTTCCCATTAACATCTTACCACCAGGAATAAACACCATCTCATCATCTGACAAAACAATTTGTTGATATTTGTTAATATTATTATTGATATTTACAAATTATTATATACAGTTGAAGTCAGCATTGTTAGCCTTTGATTTATTTATTTCATTTTTAAATATTTCCCAAATTATGTTTAACAGAGCAAGGACATTGTCACAGTATGTTTGATAATATTTATCTACTGAAGAAAAGCTTATTTGTTTTAATTTTGGATAGAATAAAAGCCAATGTTAGTTTTTTAAACACCATTTTGAGGTCAAAATTATAAGCCCCTTTAAGCTATAGTTTTCCAGAACAAACCATCATTATACAATAACTTGCCTTATTGCCATAACCTTCCTAGTTACTCTAATTAACCTAGTTAAGCCTTTAAATATCACTTTTGTATAGAAGTGTCTTCAAAAATATCTATGTTTAGAAATGTGTTGAAAAAATCTCTCCATTAAACAGAAATATATATATATATATATATATATATATATATATATATATATATATATATATATATATATATATATATATGTATGTATGTATGTATGTATGTATAATTGCACTCGATTTTCATTCTGTTTTCCTCAGCTTCTGGAAACAATTATGCAACTTATGCATTTAAAACTAAATAAAACTATAATACACAGTTTATAAAACTTTTTTTAAATAAATAGAGGTCGCCGTAAACGGTAATTATTCACTGTTTTATTTAAATGTATTTTAGGTATAATAGACATTTAAACAACTCCTGGTCTCACGATTATTTCAAAAACTGTATTAAATTAACCACCATTTCAAAAGATCGTCACAATCTCCCCCTTTAAGTACTTGTTCAACACATTAGATGAAAAAGTCTAAAATGTGAGACGTGATGCTTGAAATTAATTAAACAAAAATGTAAGTAAATATGTAGTGTAATCTTGCGCATATCTTGGAGTGTAATCTTGCGCATTCATACTCCATTTTTACGATTGAGGTAAAGTCGCCTTTATATTCGCACATTCGTTCTGTGACAACCTGTGACATATACCTTATATTGTTTACCATGGTACTTCGAATAATACGAAGCATTATTATGGTCCTATGTTTACAAAAATTAAAAATAACGGAGCATAGATTTTAAGAGAATTCTTACCTGCTGCACAAGACACTGTGCACAATAAAATGAGGTAAAACATCTCCCAAATAACGTTAATCATCTTCATCTTTATTTTTTTTTTAAATAAAGCGTTAACATATGGGAGGTTTGATTTATTTCATTAGAAGTTTTATAAAAACAAGAAAACGATCAACTGAACATAAAAATAGTCTGTATGAACAGCAACAGAACAGAGCAAACTTCAGTTCAGTTTCTTCTACGCGTCACCAAAGCTCCTCTGAAGCGTTCGTCGCCATCTGTTGGTTTGGAGAAAGACGAATTGAGCATATTTCACACACAAACTTGCATATTTCTATGTAAGAGTACGTCTATGTGCTGCTCAGTTCAGTGTTAAAGTCCATGTATTATTTTGCTGCTATTTATGTAAGTAGCCATCCCTTTTCTCAATTATCAACAAATCCTACTGTCGTTGTACTAATAAGCTGCTGCTGAATGTGTGCTTTGTAGCTATTAATAGTTTAATCTTTTGTTGTTGATGTTATGTTATCATCCCTTTGTATATCTAGCAGCTCAGCATGCTCTTATTAGCATAATTCAATATGATGGATATTTTAATCTTAAGTGCTACATTTTATTTTGTGGTACTATTTCTAATCTACTAGCAAATGTTGTTCGCCTTTAAGCAGATACTGTACCTGATATTCTCAACATCTGAGTGTTTATATGATGACTATACAACATATAGGCAATGTAATAATTTAAACTAATTTTAAACATATAGCCCAGCCAACAATTTTGTGTTTTATAGACGTCCAATAGACTAAACGTAGACAGCTTATTCATTGACGTCTATTAGATTTTCACTGACAGCACAAATTTAGCCTTGTTTAAGCCAAGACGACTATGTTTAGACATCTGTTAGACATTTATTAGCCATATTTTAATAACAAAAAATGCTTGCTGGGAGGCTACTTTGAAATAGATTACATTCACTCATTTTCTTTTTGGCTTAGTCCCTTTTTTTAATTTAAAAAGATTCATTCCGCCACAGCAGAATAAACCGCCAACTTATCCAGCACTTGTTTTTTGCAGCAGATGCCCTTCCAGCTGCAATCCATCACTGGAAAGACATAGATTACATTACATTATTTTAAAATACCCTTAATCGTAACGTTTTATATTGATGATTACATGTTCACATTTGATGTATGACCTTGGCTACCTTGACCAGTGGAATCTGGACGTAAGATATTTCAAGCCTGTGTAGTGTCATTGCTGTTTGTGTTTTAATTAATGATTGTTCATGCAATGCAGATATTTATAAACACTTTACATCTAAAATACCCACATATCTCTAAGATTTTAGCATTGTATTTAAATTATTTAACTATGCATTTGCATGTTCACATAATGACCACAACATTCAGGTAAATAAAAAGTAAAATATTGTATCAGTTTCTATAGCATTTTTATTTAATCAATTTTCATTTAATAATAGCCTTTTCATGAACTGACAAACCCTTCACAAAAATCAGTTTGGGAGACCTGTATTAAATGCAAAGTTTAATAAATTACATGATGTTGATGCAAAAATGCAACAGTGAGCATTTTTTTAAATCAATATGTAATACAGAATAAAGAATCATAATTATCCCAAATACATATTAAGTCAACAATTATCTATGAGTACTCATAATGTGTCAGATTACATTACCAAAAATGTGTAATCCAACAGGATACATTATAAATCTTGTTATTGTGATCAGTATTGGACTGCATTTCTTGATAATCTAGATAATCCACCTCTTATTGCCTTCAGACTGACTTGAATGCAGTCTTGTATTACATCTAATAGCAATGCGGTGAAATTCTCCGGCTCATTTGTCAAGAACCATTGTGAAAAGCAACATTGTTGTGAGCACAGGATATGCTTTATAGAGATGATCCGCGTTGCCACAGCAGTTTGAGGAGTGTATGAATGAGGCATTGGGCTGCTTGACTCTGTGAGACAGTGACTGTGAGAGTGTGTTCATGATGGGACTGCCTTGGCTGCTGGTTTTGGAGCTCGTCCTTTACGCCGGTTGTTTCATCTGCGGGGTGATAGCAGCCGCCTGGATGACACTCACTCAGGTATTGATAATTCAACATCCATCTCTGATCAATGCTAATTTGTGAAGCTTAGTGGTATGATTTAATAAACGGAAAACCAACTGTAAGAGAAATGTGCACACATATTGCATGCACAGTCTTTTTACACACTTAAATCTGTTATCATTTAACAATGTGTGTTATCTTGCTTCACGTGATGTTTGCTGATGTGAATTGTTTTGTGGCTTTTGTTATCAAAGATGAATTTTTAAATTATTTTTAAAGATATGCTACATCTGTTGGTGTTCAAGTGTATTTTTAATGGGAAAAATCTGTGCAATATATATCAAAATATGTGCTGTTGCTGATCCCAGGTCAGACGCTGCTTTTTCCATGTGATCAGTCGCCTCTTGTACCCTATTATAGCTTATTGAAGTCATATGATACTGGCACGGAAGCACTTTCCATATACCTCTGTTTGTCACACACTTGCTCATAGCCAAATATCACTTGCTAAAGTGTCTCCTTATGTTTGTTACATGCAAATATAGATTATGTTTCTGTGTTGTCTTCTCAGGGTCACTTTGACGGGCTCTGCATCCTCTATGGAAGTGTTCATTTTAACACATCAGGCCAGGCTTTGACAGTGGAAGGCTCTAGTTCTCCTTCTGTCTGCTATTTTGTGTCAGCCATCGCTGTGTGCATGGCTATTTACTGCTTTTCCCTCATTCTGTACTGGATCTATGCCAGCTGTGTGGAGGAAGATGTGAGAAGGTGAATGTGTTGCAATGTTTCCATATTTATAGACTTCACATTTTACTTGCTATTTATAGAAATTGATATAATATATAAAAAAATTATATTTTATAATATATAATGTTCAGAATTCTTGTGTTTTGTTAAATGTTTGCATGTATTTACAGAGGGACTGTGTCTCTCAACACGTCTCTGGGAGTCTGTGGCCTTCTTCTGTTTTTGCTGTTGGTATCAGGATGTATTCTCAAGATCGGCCGGGACAGTTTATGTTTTTCGGTCCTACACAACGTTCCCTCTCTTAACAGGTGATTTCAACTCCTCTTTGTAACTTTTGATGTATATTTTAAGAAAGATTTAATGGTAACACTTTACAATAATAGTACATGAATAATGATCTATTAATTTGTAAACTAAGCATAACTTTATTACGAATTAATGATGAGTTAAGGCGTGCGCTAATCACGAACTACCTTTAACTACAACATCATTAACAATAGTTCATGTGTGGCTACCTTGATTACTTGTTAGTACATGTTGTTAATTAATGTGTTAATTAACATTTAGGTTTAAGCTAAATGTAACCAACATGAACTCTGTTAATGTATAATTATGGCATGACTTTACTTGGAGGGGCACATCACCATTAACTCATTGCTAACTATGAACTCCTGTGTTTAAACTGTTGATGTTGACTGAACACTGTTTTATTGTTATTCAGTGTAAACACAGTAGACGGATGTGCATAAGAAGTTTATGAGTAGTTAAGAATGAGTTAATGATGATGTGTCACTCCAAGTAAAGTCATGATAGAATTATACAATAAACATATCATTAATTCATGATGGTTGAATTAAGTATGAACTAATGTAGAAATGAATACATTAACTAACAAACAATTGTGTACTAGCAAGTAATTAAGGTAGCTGTTATTCACACATGAACTCATGTGGCTCATGTTGTAGTTGGAGTTAGTTCATGATTAGCGTGCGTCTTAACTCATCATTAGTTCATAATAAAGTAATGTTTATTCTGCATATTAACACATCATTATTCACGTACTGTTATTGTAAAGTGTCCCAAAGTCCCAAAAGTTTTGCAAGTGTACATTAAGTTTTAAAAACTTTTGCAGAAAACAATGCATAGGTTCTGACAGCTAATGCTATGCAAATTATTAAAGGAATGTGAGAAACGTGAAGGAACGTCAAGGTTTTTTGAAGGAACGTGAAGGTTTTGTACATCAACACAATGTTTCTTTAGGGAATGCAAACTTTTTGCTAGTGAACGCAACATTTCCTGAGAGCACAGTTTGCCTGAAGTGATGGCAATGTTTCTTGTGAAAACACTAAAGTTTAGTGAGTGAAGTGTCTCGGGGGGATTGCAAACATTTTTATGAGAGTAAAACAAAATGGTTGCAAGTTAATGCAGTTTCTTGAGAGAAAGTAAACTTTTATGGCAGGTTTGGAAACCACAAAAGTATTATTAAGGAATGCAAAAGTTTTGGCAGGAAATTTATGTTTCTTGGAATACCAGAAGTGTTTTAGAGAGAAAAAAAAGCATGTTTCATGTAGAACAGCAAAGGTTTTCCATGATGTTTTTAGGAATAAACTTGTATAAGTGAATGTTTCTTGGGGGCATTAGCTTTTGTTTTTTTTTGGTGGCTTTTAAATGCAAAGGTTCTTGGGTAAATGCAAACTCTTTAGAAGGAACCCATACATTTTGGCCGGCCCAAGCTCATTAGAAATGTGTGCATCAGCCTGCATTTTGTAAAATGTAAAACATGCTGGTCTGGTATGTTTTGTTGCATGTTCCAGATGATAAATCATCTAGAGGGCACTGTCTAAATTTTTGTGACTCAAATACATTACTTAGGATACATTTTACAGAACATTTCAGATACACGTCCTTCTTGTACTCGTCCATGAAAAGGTGGGCCTTGTCATACAGATCACCTAGTGCAGTGTTTCCCAACCCTTTTCCTTGACGCACACCGACAGTACATATTTTGGATGTCTTCCTTGTCTGGCCCAATAGTTTCAGGTTTTAAAGTCTCTTTTAATGACCTGAACTCAACCAATAGTGTATTCAAAAGCAGACATAACAGAAAAGTGCACTGCTACCATATAGCTTTCCCTTGATTTTACACTGTTATCTCTTTTGAACTCGAAGCCACAGACTTTTTGTCACAATTACAGCACTATGAAAGTGAGCATAAGTGGTGCTGTGCAAAGAACTGAAGAATTATTTGAAAAGGAACAAAAGTTGTTGGCTTCATATTGCACTGTACCATCCGTTTTGTTTAAAAACTTTTGTGGTTTTACAAAAATGAAGCATTTTCCAGTGAGCCTGTATTGGTTTTGTCATTAAATGATGTTTTGTGGAAAACGTTTTTTGGAGAAATGCAAAGCTATATATGATGCAAAAGCTAATCACTTTCCCTCGTGATAAGTTTCAGTTAAATATGTGCTTCTGGAAATACTATCTTATTCTAGTTGTGAAGATGCAGAGAATAAGACATGGGCCCATCCATACTCTGGAAATCAGTTCTACACAGGACTGTACAGTACTGAGGTTAGTCCTTTGGTTTGATGTTTCTTCATACTGTTTATGACGATTTGTTATATTCGAAGCATGTGTCAAACATTGATTTTTTTTTTCTTGTGCGTGTTTTTGTATCTGAAACCTTATACATGATGCTTCATACATACCAGCAAATGTCAGTACATACAATACGCACCCCAAATCAGTTTTGATTTGTTTTTAATACAGTGTAAATTCTGTTCTCTCCTCCACAGAGGTCTATGTGGGTCAGCTTCTTCTTCTGGATATTAATAACGGCCGTGGTGGTCATACAGAGACGCCAGAGCTCCAGTTTGAAGGTTTGGGGTGATGATGAGTGGAGTCGTGCTGAGACAGAGCCCTTCCTCCATCGCCCGTCCCGCCAGAGATAAATCATTAACACATAAAGCTATCATGCAGTCTTGAAAAAGTGCTTATTATCATTGTGTAACACTTGAATTTGATCTTAATTATACATATGCACAATACTGTATGATGTATAATAGCTACAATGATACACAAATGTCTTAAGGCAGTGTTTCTCAACCATGCTCTTGGAGGACCACTACCTCATCTTCCATGTCTCTTCACTACATCTTCCATGTCTCCTTAAGCAAACACACCGGATTTAGATCATCAGCTCAATAGCTGAGACTGAAAGACCTGTAATGGGTGTGACAGACAAAGGAGACATTTAAAACATGAAGTGTTGGTGGTCCTCCTGGAATGTGGTTGAGAAACACTGTCTTAAGAAGGTTATCTCTGTAGAACTGACTGACATGTCAGTGAACATGATGGATTTAAGAAATATATGAAATATCAGGATAAATTGATAATGGTTAACATACAGTTAACCAACAATTATTGCAAATGATAGTAATAATGACAAGGGTGAGAGGTTTTATTGTCCTTGATAGTTGGACATTTAGCAAATGAATAAATAAATTGACATGCATAATTTTGGCTTTAAATTATTCATCAGCTCATTAGCATAGACTGCAAGATTTGAAACAAGTGTGGCAAACTGAAAAGATCTGAAAAGAGTGTGGCAAACAAAGGAGACATGAAAAATGTGTAGTGCTGGAGGAATGGTTGAGAACCACAATCCTAGAAGATGGCTGAGCTCAATTGGTTTCCAGCCTGGAGAAGCATTGAGAAACCCCCTGAGGATAATTAAATTGGTAGAAAATTGTACATTTTGTATAAACAATCTCTTTTAAAAAAGATGCCTGTCACCCCAGACATCATTTTGATAAAATTATTATGTTTAATTTGGCACAAATCTAATCTGTAATCTGAATTTCTCACAAAAAAGCCCACTCTGTAAAATTAGTTGAAAATGTAGGAACTACTTTTATTCTTTCTTTCTCTCATTTGAATGGCCAAACAATATTTTCCCGCCTTGTATCAGAGCTGTTTGCTTAGTTTGCGAGCCTGTCTCTCTTTGGCCTCATACGCGGCTTTAGTGTCCAGAAGAATCTCCAGCGTCTTGTTGATCTCAGCCATGTCCTGTTGGAGCAGGTCGCTTTGGCTGTGGAGGCTCTGGCTCTCCTCTCTCAGCCGCTCGACTTGAGCCACCATCTGCCTGCTCTCCTCCCGACACCGCGCGTGCAGCTCCGCGGCCAGTGAGAGCAGCTCCTCCGCCTGGATCACCGCCGAGTCCAGTTGGTCCTTCGACATCCCGCGGCTCTTCACCTCACAGCTGGCCCACGCCGCGTCCATTGGGATTGTGAAGTGAAAGAAAAGGTTTTAAAGCCAGATAGAATTGCATAATGAATGTAAATAATCATTTGTTTTGGCTATTATTTTAGGTCAAACAGTCCTGCTATGTTTTCTCAGTTGACTTTCAATCTCAATCCATAAAATAATGTTTTTGTGAATCAATAGATTTTTGTAATTATGATGTTGTACACTATTACTAATAAAACTATGGCTTAAAGACATGGTTAATTAATAGCAATAGTGGCTCATTGTTTTCATGACAAATGTCAGGTTGGGTCAGCTGTTTGCATTTTAAATGGTATTTTTAGCATATATATATAACAAAGATTTTTTAAACACATTTCTAAACATAGTTTTAATAACTCATTTCTAACTGATTTATTTTATTTTTGCCATGATTACAGTACATATTATTTGACTGGATATTTTTCAAGACACTTCTATACAGTTTAAAGTGACATTTAAAGTCTTAACTATGGGTTCACTAGGCTGGTTAGGGTAATTAGGCGAGTGATTGCATAACGATGGTTTGTTCTGTTGACTATCGGAAAAAATATAGTTTAAAGAGGCTAATCATTTTGAACTTAAAATGGGTTTAAAAAAAATTAAGAGCTGTTAAGCTGTTAAGAGCTCTTAAAAAATTAAGACCTGCTTTATTCAATGCTCCTATAAAACAAATAAGACTTTCTCCAGAAGAAAAAATATTATCAGACACACTGTGAAAATTTCCTTGCTCTATTAAACATAAGTTGGGACATATTTAAAAAAGAAAAACATCAAAGGGGGGGAATCCTGACTTCAACTGTATATATATATATATACTATAGGGACTTGATCCCTATATTAATCTGGGGTCACCACAGCAAAATGAACCGTCAACTTATCCAGCATATGTTTTATGCAGCCTATGCCCTTCCAGCTGCAACCCATCACTGGGAATGGATGTGACATTTGCATAAAAATAAAAAAAAAATCACATACATTAACATTGCATTGAAACATCTGTTTATATTTTGGCTCACTAGAACAAACATGACTGGTTTTATTAAATTTAATATTATTGCATTTATAAGGAAAAAGTTTCATTATAGACGTGACATCTCTCCGTTATGGATATGACCTATATGTGAAATTACCACCTGTGTGACTTTGGTAAATCAAATATAAATTGTTTAAAAAAATTGACAGAGACATTTTTTGGAGTATTTGTAAAGTACTGTGAAATACTAGCTTACACAATAAATGTAAAATCGGTATCAGTATTTTGGTAAAAACGTATTTTTTTTAATGGCAAGGTTGTCATTTGCTTGGAATTGCTTATACAATGGTTTGTCATTCATAATTATTCATCATTTTAATGTTTTGTTTTTAAAAAGGCTCTTTAGTATGACAATTTTCTCTGCAGTTGGTCAAAATGTTAAATAAAATGTGTTTTAAAATAATGTCCTAATTTATTTATGGGTTTACTTTAGCTAATTAGAATTTAAAAAGTGAGTTCATATACACTGAAGCTGTATTAATTTCAGATTTACATCAATGTTTAACAAATAAGTTTTGTAAAATACATACATTTTGTAAATTATAGATTAGATAAAACCTGGTATATGTATTGTTAGTATTGTTGCTAAATATAATGCTCATTTATATTTAAATGGAATCTTTCAATAGGCTATGTGATAATAATTTATGTAAAATAAAAAATTTATGATTAATTTTTAAAAGAAAATGGGACACATTCTAATAAATATGGGCTAAAACCCCACAAAATGTAAAGATTTATTGCACTTATTGATTTTATGCCTTACACAATTTTATAAGGACAGTATGGAAAAATTGCATTCAAATGAAAGATTAAAAGATTTGACCAACTACAAGACTCATCTTAATGCAGTCCTCATGATTTATAAGAACATACAAGTATTTTAAAAAGTGTTTCTCATCGCTGTCACTCAGACAACATGCTGTGTGTCGTCTCTGTGACCTAAATCTCAGATGGCAACACTAGTCTGAATCACCAGGCTCAGGGGAGGTAACAAGCTGCTTAGAGAGCAGCTTATCCCAGCGCCTGCACTGTTACTTCACTTCACTTGCAACTTAAATAAAAAAGCAGCGCACATTCAACAATCAAATCAACTACACAAAGCGACCGCTGTGTTTTAAGAGCTAGAAATGCCACTGGAACGCAGTGATGATTGGAAATGAATGCTTCACATTTAAGAATGAAGTGTTTTGCAGTTTACTAATTCAGTCACAATTAGAGTCCTCTGGTTATGTACATATTTGTCATTTTTATCTATAATTATAATGAGCAATGCCATTCTACTCTAAACTCATTTTTAATGCACTGTTTATATTATTGACTTACCAGACTCTCTTCTCCTCCTCTATTATTGGCAGCAGCAGTGAAGGAACTGATCTTGTCCTTCAAACTCAGATTATGAACAGAGGGAGGGAGAGGAAGGTCGATCAGAATGCTTTAACATTAGAAGTCCCTGCAAGATTACTGACAATACAGGTAATTCAGAAATGATCTTGCATTTAATTATGTATTATATATATATTTTTTTAAATCTTAAAGAGATGGGTTTCTTAAAGAGGAAAGGGTTTTAAATCTTTATGGATTTCTTTTTTCTGTTGAACACAAAAGAAGATATTTTGAAGACTGCTGGTAATCATTGACATCAGCAGTGGGGGGGGGGGGGGGGGTGTCCTTGTATTGTTTTTATTTATTGTTTGTGCTGTCAGGGGTTAATGATTTATAGAGATTTTTTCATGTTCAACAGAAGAATAAAAATAATATAAGGTTGAAAAAATACTGAATTTTTTTTTTATTATTAATTAATATTAAATAAGAAAAATACGACCTTTTTTTAAGTGACTCCAAAGCTTTGCGAGATTTTCTGTTCAACGCAAGATATTTTGAAGATTGTTATTGTATGTGCTCAGCATAAATGAGATCACTCTTTTAAATTTAGATTATCTATAATATGCTGTAGAAATAATTTATTTGTGCATATACATCAAATTAGTCAGTACCAAAGGCAAAAAAACACAAGATCACAGTCCAAGTATTTCATTCATTCATTCATTCATTTTCTTTTCGGCTTAGTCCCTTTATTGTCCAAGAATTTGTCCACCCATATTAATGTGCTGGAGGAAAATACTACAAAAAAAATTATTATAATAAACGAAGCATTTAAAAAATCAAAAATTTAGTTGAAAGTTTTAGTTTTTATTTTATTTTTTGCAAGAACTTGTTTGAGATTATGATTAAAAATGTTAGGTGACTAAAACTTGATTTTATGGATTTAATTGTTTAATAAAATTATTTGTATAAATGCAGTAAAATATATTGCTATATTTAATTAGAAATTAATCAAAATAATCTTTTTCAAAAGTAGGTGTACTCATTTAGGCTGAGCAATGTATAGTATGAAAAATACTATGAAAGTCAATGGCTACCAGTTCCCAACATTCCTTAAAATACCGTATGTTTTGTTCAACAGAAAACACAAACAGGTTTGCAGCAGGTCAAGAGGGGGTAAAATTATTACAGGATTTAAATTTTAGTGTGAAGTGTCCATACGTTTACAGTTTGTCCCAATTGTTTACAAACAATTACTTGTACTTCAGACACAATGACTACAACAACTGATGCACCAACCCACTGAACCAATTCTGCTAAACTACAAGCACAATTCCTGTTTACACTCAAATTGCAGGTTTAAAACACTTTTTTTTTCAAAACAAAACACACAATTTTCTGCATTTGGCACAATTTTCATACAGAAAATCTTGTTTTCACAAGGAACTCACTGTCAAAATTGTAAAGTCAGTTGCCCTACTTTGCATACTAACTCATCACATGAGTAAACACCCGTCACACAGAATTGCAATTCAGATATCAGAGCTCATATGGTTCATAACTGGTTCACTGTCCAACCACGTTTTTTAGTTGTTTATCTTCCTCCATATTTTCCATTCCTCAAACCTATTGAGGAGTTTTTTTCTTCTCCCTGAGGATGGAAAGTGTATGACTGAAATCCACAAACAAATACCCTTCTCCAAGCTACAGCAGTTGATGCTTTTCATGGCTGGATTGTATATGTAGACCATGTTATGTGCAACTTTGTGTTGGTTGATGAACACTGTGTGCGCTGTTTTTGTGGGGAAAAATACAGTAAAATATATTTGGTACAGTGTGTATGTGTGTTTTGTATAAAAACAATATTCCGA